CACCATATTTTAGCATTATCATCTTAGGATGAGAAACGAATGCCAATTTAACGGAACATAATTGGCCATTGGTAGCATTTTTTCCAAGTGAATAACCGATGTGAATCATCAAATGTAATCTGAAACGCCTACATTGTCATTTAACAAATCAACCAATTACTCTGCATCGACAAGCTGGCCTTACTAAGCTTATTTCATACTATTTAATGTAATTTTGACTTAACGGGATGCACGCCATGTATTCTCTGATGCATCCCAAATTTAATATCATGTTCTTCACACTTTCTTTACGTGGAAATCCAAATAGAATTCAGATACCAAAGCTGTGATTTTGGCTAAATGGATTCTTGGTGTCGCCACTTTGTTAAATTAATCCATCGGTTCTGCGATAGAGTCAAAAACATTGTCGGCTGTGTAGCCATGTTTCGCGCGTGATTGGTAGAGACAGTAAGTTCTGTCAATGCATTGGAATCAAAACAATAGGACCTGTTTTGATTAACTCAAACGACTGACGAATTTTTTTGACACAAGCATGCCTTTATGGCCAGTATGCTGGGCATACTGGCAACTAATAGTTAAAATTTAATAAAAGGGTCATAAAATTTGAGTTTTATTCAATTACATAGAAAATAGGAACGGTATGCAAATGCCAAAATAACTTTAGGACACACAAATGTCAGAGCTCTGATAGAGGTCTAAAGTATTCTGTGTCATCAAGTATAATCTGGAGAGATTTAAAGGCGAAATGCGAGCTCAATTATGTATTTATGTACTCGCAGAAATTTGAAACAGCTATAAAAATAAATGACTTTACGAATTATCCGCTGTACTCCTAGATTAGAATCGTCCCCATTCGCTCTGTGTACCATTTATTCTGCCTCGGACACTTTGTAGCAACTGGCAACTGTGGTTTATTTATGCCGATCAAGCGCTTAATTCATGAATTCACCTTTTTGTATTTACGGGACGACGAATTTGTAAGTAAGGATAAAATATATAATCAAAGTAATTTAGCATGATGGAAGGTAAGGTCGTCCAATGACATTTTTCGCCATTGCATGTAAAAGATGAACAATAGTAAATTTGTTTTTATATTGCGTTTAAGACAATGTAAAAATGAATGACGCATTAGTCAGTGTGCATGCAAAACTCACGTTACTGTCCTGTTCCCACAATTTAACATGCAGACTGAATTTGGTGTATTCAATACCAATCAATGCGACGCTCCATAATTCACCAAGCAATCAACAGCTGCAAAAAGCCAAAACCCAATTTTTACACATTATTTCACCCTTTAAATGAAGCCAGACGTAATCAAATACGTCTCTCATGTAGAATTCATCCTGTTTGACCAGTGGATTCCCCAAACTACACATCACCTAGGGCACAAGTTATTTATGTCGGTTAGTGTATTTTAACTCACAGTCTTTTTTATCTAATCGATGTGAAAGATTGTTATCTTTCTAATTGTAGCAACGCGACATACAACACATTAATTGCATTCTGAAAACAAATTGACGACCACTGCCATCTTAATTTTGTAAGTTGTTATTGCAATGAAGTACGTATGCCATATTAAGTGACCATGGAGCTAAGCAGCTATTACCAGACCTCATTTGGATTCGCCTAATGAAATCATGTTGCGTGTACCCTACAGGAAATAAAAAATTGTTATTATTACAAGTTAAACATCGGCGTTTCTTCATTAGAATGCACTATTTTATGTGACGCCGGATGACCACCACCTACTTCTCGTTAAAAAATTGTAAATTTACATTAACATAGCATTTTATAAAGTTGCTGGAGAAAGCATCATATTATTTGCATTATTTCGAACAATGGTACCTAATTAAATCAAAATATGACCAATCAAAAAAATTTACTTTTGTGATCTTATTTATAGTTTGAAATTAGTGTTGTACGCAGTATGACTATCAACATTGCTACTCAATAAATTTATCTACGTTATCTACGCAAAACCTGAAATAAACTGACTTGCGCAATAAAGGTTTCATCTCGCATGCGCATAAACCCATTTCACAATACATTATGGCCGCATTCGTTCCAATGATGGTGCGTGGCAATAGTCCAGGTAGGAATAAGACTTTACTGACTGGCATCTCGTGCTTCATGTCAGGCTACATTAGAGGTTAATGGGTTCAGGAGTTAGCCTGTTATCCAGTGAAGTAGAAATGCATCCATGGCCTAAGTTAGTCAAGAAATTCGAAAACGTAAAGTTTATAACCCTTAATTTGCGTGTAAAATTATGCAAATGATTTTTGGAGCAATTAAAAGCTGGCTTTGTAATACTTGATATTCACAATCGTGAACACGTGATTCAGTTTGGACCAAGATTTATGCAATTATTCTAAAGTAAAATTAATAAAAATTAGAAAAAAACAAAAACGTTGATAATAAAATAGTGCGTTGAACAGGGAGCTGCCAGAATTGGTCTTAGAGAAATCTACTTAGGACTTACGCGGACACAGAACGAGTACCTTTGGGTTTTAGTAGCCCTTAAGTGTAATGAGCTATCTTATTGTTCGAATGCATAGTGGCAAATTCAGCAGCACCGCATTTAAGAATATCACACTTTCTGTTATCCAAACAACGGGTAAGTTACCAAGTTTTTTAAATGTGTCTGGGTGCTTCAATGTAACACACCTCAACACAAAGAACGGTGCGCAAATCACCGATTAATTATGCACTATAGGTAATAAATGTGAGGGACTTACGCATCAGCGATAGTGCCGCTTCTAATTCCACAACAGTGTCCTAATCTAGACACAAACAACTATGCTTCATGGATTCCAAAGCTCTTGTTTACTGATAACCGCTACAATCTATCCATTAAATCTAAACCATTTTCAACGATTTTGCGTATTCCGAAAAAAAAGTAAATTTCCCTTTACCAACTTGCGTAATACAGGTCTAAGAAAGTTATATTAAGTCCTGTAGCCGAACGCCAAGATGAGTAGTTAATTGCATTCAATTATCTAAGGTTTCGTTAATTCTAAATACCGACGATCACACACAGGGCAGATCAAATGTTCGTGTTACAAAATAAGGAGAGGTCCCGGCTGTCTAGCTTATTGTGACACTGTCAGCTTTGAAAGCCGATTCCTACACCTAGAACTGAGCTTTTCGCGATCTCAGGAACGCGAACTGCTTCTAGTGGGCGTACTCAGGCATCTAGCTAAGCAAAAACATAACCCCAAACACCCTTACGATTTCTGGAGCAACCAACCAATCCGAGGTAAATTTAAAGGAACCACGAAGAAGGACCAACTGCGACACGACTTTCGAACGCACACGTTGTCAAGCAGTTTTCAGTCACAGTGACCATTGTCCACGATGTCACGTCGATTCACGTTATCGTCGCTACTCGCTCTCTAGGATTTCACTCTATACTTTGCACAGTGTAAAACGTGAATTTCTGAACAACTTTGAATTTAAATTATCCTTAATCTGTCTAAGACTTAATAAAGTTGCATTTTAGGGTTTTTGTATCGCACATTAATATGAAGTTCGGTTGAATTCCTAACACCTTCTTAGTACACTGATTCTTTGAGTATAGTCAAGCATTTGCAATTCTATATAGTTTGCATATTGCTACATGCTTACATGGTCAATGGATTTGTGGCAACATCTCACATATTTTATTACCCGGGTTCTTTTGAGTTTTCAGTTTTAGGATTTAGGGCTATAATAACCTGCCTGATTTTAAATTCGTTTGTTAAGGATCAATCAGTTGAATCATTTACTTAACAACTACTTAACAGGATAAACACGATAATAATGAGCATAGTGGCTCAATTACCTCCAAACCTGCACGTTCTTTGTAAAATCAAGTAATGTGTGGCGCAGCCTACAAAAACCTGAAATCGATGACAGGCTAATGCGGATTTGAATGTTTATTAGATTTAGGCCAGCAAAGAGAATTAATAAGAGCGCGTGAGCGTGATTATAGGTTGACAGGTCCATCATTGATCATTGCCAACAGATCAATATTCAAAACAGTCACCAACATTTGGCGGCTGACAATGTTATACCAAAATTCACCTCCATTTTGTAATGTTTGGCTTGACTACCTTTAGATAGCATCAATCTAGATTTGAGAAAAAACGATTAAGCTAGAATAATAAATTATTTGGTCAAGTTGATTCGTTGTACGAGGCAGCTCAAATTTCATCTAATACAAGTTTAAGAGCAGCCTGGTAAATAAGCAGCTCGACTGTCACATTGATGTAAAAAAACTGCTCGTACATTAGGTAGTTGCGAAAAGCAAGACATAAGGTAATAAAGGACGTTCAATTGTGAAATTGGGTCTTTATTGTTAAAGTTTGGAGCAAACTGATAACAGCCGCATATTGGCTTTATAAAGTATGAAATTTTTCATTCGATATATGTATTTATTGAATGATAAAGGTAGTTAGAGTAAGAGCCGCAGAAGTCTAAGCAGCCAAAAAACAGATTTTTTTGGAAAAAAAATGAGTGGTTTAATTCAATTTAATGAGATCTAAACACCAATTTGTGCAAGCGCAGAAAACTCATGGCAACCGAAACTTGTTTTTACCTATTATGAAAAGGGAATAGCCAAATAAAGATTGACGATTGATGCACAGACTAAATTACCAATTACACAATAAGCATTGACTGATGATAAATATACAAATTTAAGCTCGTTGTGATACCTATGATTGGGTTACAGTAATTCGACTAAATATTTTTAATTCATTAAAAGAAATGCACCAAATAAAGCCAACTTGTGGTCGCAATGTTTTATTTTCTCCCCAATTATTATACTTGACCAATCTAGAGGAACGAAATCTTTAATTCATGAACTCCCTAAACAAAGAGTGTAATATCAAAATTTTACTCTTGTTAGGTTAATAGAAAAATCAAACTTTTTAAATCTGTGTAATGAATAAATTATTGACCACTGCATGCAGTCTTTAAGCTGATTCTTCGTTACAGCGCTCCCCTCAAGTTAATGATAAATGGGGGATTTCATAAGGTCAGCCTTTGGTTATTTCGGAGGGCCAAGTCAAAGTGTCAAGGAAAATGAGTTGGTGGGCCAACTAGTTGATGTCGGGAAAACACAATTCCGAATCCGTCGAGTTATCGCTGAGGGTTGGTCATTAATGTATTCGTACTAATTTTGCTGAAGGTGGTTTCGCCGTGGTGTTCGAGGGATATGAACATTCCAAGGGGAAATCCTTTGCTATAAAGGTATATTCTAATAATTGTTTTAACTTTTGTAGCGGCTTCTTGCACAAGATAAAGAAATGTGTGATGCTGTAATGCGCGAAGTCGACATTATCGTAAACCTTTGCCATAATTGTCATCAATTTGTTTAGAAGCGATTGTCTGGGCATCCAAACATAATCGGCTTTTTTGGAGCTGCCTGCGTTGGGAAGGAAAAATCTAGACACGTAGGGACTGAGTTCCTAATTGTCACGGAATTGTGCTCAGGTGATCACTGCTTTGTCATCATAAATTTGTTGAAACTTCGTTAAAAACCCGAATTTTTAACATAAGCTTCATTTCTGATTGTTTCTATTCTATTTGTTGATTCGTTAGGAGGAGCTCTCGCCGACTTTCTTCCTACACCTCATCAACAAAAGCCTCTGCCCTTGAACATTGTTCTTCAAATTCTCGCACAAACTAGTCGAGCCGTGCAGCACATGCACAAGCAGTCACCTCCAATAATCCATCGGGACCTAAAGGTCGAAAATCTCCTGCTTTCAGAAAAATTCACCATTAAGTTGTGTGATTTTGGTAGCGCCTCGACAGAAACATATGCTCCTACTTTACTTTGGTCTGCCACAGAACGTGGACGAACTCAGGAGGCCGTAAGTTTGCCACGCACATGATTCAAAGTAATCTAGCATTATATTTCGCTGCACTATGTAAAAAACCCTGTTGTGAACTTATATTATTAGTAGATTTTTAGGGGACTGAAAGTGCTTCGGAATATCTGTTATTTATCTACCTGTGTAGATATTTTGCTTTCCCGAAAAACAATTTTAAATTATTTTGATAATCTCATTACAAAAATGTGTCATGTGTTCCAATCTGTTAACATGGAATTTATGTGATGGTGTAAATGACGTTATCTGCATTTTGTTCCAACTGGTTACCGTGTAAATCTTTTTTGACGGACGAATTATTTATTAAAAAAAGCTATAAACTTTGAATAATTTGGTACACGTTTGGATCGGTTGCTGAGACCATGTGCTTACGTGCTTGTTTTGCTCTCATTAACATCACCTCAAATTATCAATTATAGCTGGAAAAAGTGACAACACCCATGTACAGATCGCCAGAAATGTTGGATCTTTATCTCAACTATCCCATCAACGAAGCCGTGGATATTTGGGTACGATCATCCGCCCTCGTTTTTTTTTGTTATTAATCTCATCATTATTCCAATCCGCATTTGATCTGATGTACGGTAATGGTCCAGTTACTATCAATTTGCTAGGACGTTCGTATGCCTCATCTCTTTTCTTTGCATCACATCTTTTATTTCGGCATTGTGTGATTAATAAATTATCAGAGATTACTAATGTTTCCAGTGTTAAGCACATTGGTGAAAATTTAAAGCTATTGCATTAATATAGTTCCACAGGTTTCGTGGTGTTACCTTAAAAATGAGTAATTTCAAACAAATTTGGTCTCATTATGCAAATTCAAAATACGGCTTCACATTTGCCACCAATGAAAATCGACGCGACTCAAATCAGTCAATGAGACTAGTCTATGGGTTAATTTCAATGACACAAAAACCATAGGCGAAAATGTGTTTTAACGCTTAAATACGTTGCTTATGCACGTGAATGTTGTCAGTGATCTTCATTTGGATTCATTTGGTGGTTAAAAGGTGAGTTTCGAGAGGCAGGCAGTGCACCCATGTATTTTCTGTCTACTTAGTATTATCCTTTTAAAGAATAATATGTAGATATGTGAACAATATGTGTGACTAAGAGAATCAGCCAAAGCATACCTACCCGGTAGTTGGCTGGCTAGTGTACGGTGCTTTTCTGATTTGACCACAGATCGTAACGAGTTTGCCAGGCATAACTGAGGAAGACGATAGAAATTATGGATTATCGGTTTATTGACTGCGATCGCATGCCAATTCGTCTTCATCACCCTATCGTTACCAATGTGGAGAATTGTAAGGTTATTTTGGCGTGGCATGAAACGGAAACAGGTTATTACGAGTGACGCATTCCGTTTTGGCAAAGAAAGATAATGTGGTAGCTAATCAAATGTAGGTTTGAGGACTTTGGTGGTTCTAAATTATAAACCATAGGGTTTATGTGTGGCTGTTTAAACCTGATTCATTGTAGGTTGTCGGACCTTTGTGCCGCGGTCATATCAAAAATAGGTCTTATTTTGCAAGAACAAATCTTTTTGACAATCTCGCTTCAGGTACTTGGGTGAATTTGATACCTTGTTCGCGGTGACCACTTGGCAGCTTTTGCGGATGATACTACATTGGTTCTTGCACATGTGTTAGTATTGTGTGCTAAGATGTGTCCCTACCAGTAGAAAAAAATGTGCCTTCTCGTTTCAGTAGGTTTAACTGATTTGCAGGGGTTGATGGCGTTTATTTGGTAAGACGTCGATCTCGAGCTAGGATCACTGATCGTAAGCGGAAGCTTTGGGCCTGGGTGGTAGTTATTCCTCTCATGAATCGCTTTCCACATTTAGCGCTGCTTCTCTTCAATCCCCGTAACTTGATATAACTTTGACGTGTCAGATGTGACTACTCATGCCTATCACCCAAAATGTATTGCTTCGCCCGACGACGGTAGTTGCATTGCTGAGGCAGTGGGCTGAGGCCTGAGTCCGTTTATTTCCCCAAATTATTTGGTAACAACAATAGTTTGATAAAAGGAATACCGTCACTTATGTCTTCTCCACCGTTATCTGCATCTCCCTTCTACCATTTTATCGCCAGAGTGCACTTATAAAGCAAATTTTCGAGATCTTCATTGTTGCCGTATGTCATGTCGCGCATTTCGCCCCAAATCGAGCGGACAAAACGTCAATTAGATAGACCGAAGTTCGAGGCGTGTGGAAGATACGTCAACAGCTTAACGAGCTCCAGGGTGGCGGTCTTGTGCGGTATTTGGCCGGGCATTGTCCTACAGCAGAACCGATTGTTTCTGGTGATCACGTCGTTTGCTCTGATTAGTCTCTCTCCAATGGCTTCATTTGATAGCGTGAAAAAGTTGGATGGTTGTCTAGCTCTACGTGAGCATTTCCCATTGGCTTAGACCTTTGCAGTTGCACTACGAGCGACGTGTTGTTTGGTGAGGTGGAAGATCCTGCTTGACTCGTGGTGATGCTCTCCCGCTCCTGCCTGCCTGTACACCCACCTGCCTTACAGTTTACGTAGACACTAGTTCTTGTCTCCAGCAAAACGTGGACCTGAATTGTTGATTTGTGTCACGCAAGGAAAGCGACCATTTTTGTAAATTGCCTATGTCTAGTTTGCTCATAGAAATTGATATTTAGTTACGTTGTCGCATCAAGTCTGTTTTCGGCTTTACGTAGGTAGCAGAAACCTTGGATAATGGTTGAGAACCGTCGAGAAATCGGGGCACAGTCGTCACTAGGGGTTCTTTTCACCCTGTTGGTCTTCAAAATACCATGTGGCGCGCTCTGTTCTCCCTCTGATAGAACGACAACCCCGATTTGTAGCGTGTATTTGGCCTTCGTTCATCCGAGTTTAACGGGGATGTCTCATTTGATGCACCTTGATCTGATGCATTACCAGTTCAAACCCCTGCTGAAATTGTATCTTGAGTGGTGTTTTCGTCTAATTTAGGCCCTCGGTTGCATAATCTTCTACCTCGTCTGTGGTTACCACCCCTTTGAGGACTCCGCCAAATTGGCCATTCTGAACGCCAATTTCAATCTTCCCCCTTGCGATCCCGATTTCGAGACCTTTCATAATTTAATTCGTAAGTGAACATCTTTGTCTGTATTTGTTTCGTATTTAGATCTTTCTAAATATGAATACGAATACTGTAATTGGTCAATGTCATGCACTCGTTAAAATACCAATGTCGTTTATCGGTGTCCATTCTTTGCTTTTCAATTTGATTCCACCATTCAAGTTTATTTGGTAGTACTCCTGCGCGGCCACTTATCAAAAATAAGCTCTTTCCCTGGTTTTTTTTTCTCGGGAGCCGATTTACCACTCAAAGCTGGCTTTTTCACTAGCTTGCATATCCAAAGGCCTTTCGTCACAAAGAATTCCACACCCCCATGTTTGCACGCTCTTTGATTGACGCAATCGTCACGCCTTTTATTACCAACGGGAACAACACAGCCGACCTTCAATATCTCACCAGTTCACCTTCATACATGCGCCCTACGTTAAGATTTTTGTTTTAGCTGCTGTGACTTACTGGGTCAAAAGACCGTTTTTGAAGTATTCTGAGTTGACCCCTTACCACAGTCGTTGAACCTGAGCCAGTAACGTGGCATTTTCGAGTGGCGCGAAGTCGCCCACCCAATGCTTTTCTTCAATCTGAGATGTAGCAAACATATCTGCACCTAAACTCGACAATGCACAGGTGATTTTCTGGTGTTGAGGCTCGGGGTTCTAAGATGAGTGGGTAGCCATTTAACTGTGTGAATCAACAAGTTTAATGAGGCTGCTGATGGTAGTTTAATCATTCATCATATTCCCTGGCTATTAAACGTATTCTTTTTTATTTTGCCCCGAGAACTCCCACTATCGCTATCGCGTTTCTAAAGGGCTGGTGAATTGATATTTTTTTGTTCCCAACGCGCCGCCATGCCATTTCCCCCAAAATGCTTGTCCCACGTCCTGTGATGAATCTGCCAAGACGCTGCATCACAAAAATATGCCAAAACTACGCCAATTTTACCCTACTCGAGATTGTGTACTTGAAAAGTAATTCACTTAACCACTTGGAATTTTCTCACGGAATAGTTCGAGTCAATTTAAAATAAGTATTAAGCACTAACTTAGCTTATTGTGTAGTGCTGGCACATGCTCCGCTGTGGGACAAAAGCCTACTCTATTCGGTTTCAAATAACTGAAAAAAATTATCAGGAGGTTCGCTTATTCAAGGACAAAAGTGTCGTGGATTTTTGGCCTAAGTATATTTTGACCTACTCTTATTTGAGTCCTGTATTGGCACCTACGTAGAGCCAATGAAATCAGCTTTTCACGTGATTGGTAGGCAGGGTTGTCATTCAAGTCTAAGCGTTAGTTGACGAACACGGGCTTGAATTTGCAATTAGTCAGTATTCCATCATTTACTTCTCATTTTAACGTTGAGGAAATCATGCTATGAATTTTTCATAGTTCATAAGCCCACGAAATGTAGGCATTATAAGTAGGTAAAAGTGTTCGTTTTAAATAACGAACCGACTTTCTTCAAGGTAATCCCAAAGGAGTGCACAGGGTGATGCATTTGTCGAAGATCCTTTAATTTGACTAGGTAGGTAAGCGAGGATCGGCGAAACTTTGCAGCTCGTCGGAGAGGTTTTCTGCCCGGAAAAGAAGTTGAGTTTGTTGACAATTTCTAAAGGTGATTGGATCAGAAGTAATTTAGATTAGTTTATGAAGGATTTGAATTGAGCCTTGGTCGGTCTTGCATAACACTGCTTCTATTTAAGTAGGTTGTTTCGTGAAAATGGTCCTACAATGCGAGTACTAATATCACTCTCAATGCATAACAAATTGCCTTTCTTTGTCGGTCGCAAAATCGTAATGCGATGGTGTTAGGCAAAACGAGATCCCTGGCATGTGTGATGCCAGCGTTTTGTGTATGTAGCACGCACGACGAATCACTGGTTGGACGAGTCGAATCGGGGAGCTCAGTAGGGCGCGAATTATATGGAAAACTTTTGCACAATTCTCTCTTATTGGGCATTATAGAAGCAACCGCTGACAAACATGCATTCTAGTAAAATTCTCAATTTCTTTTTGAATAAAATCGCTTTTCGTTCGTTACTGAACCCGAATCTACGCATTTGGGCCTACTTGGAGCGGTTTAAAGGCTGTTGTCCTGACAAATACGCCATTTTGATGGGTATTGTTAGCTTACAGTGGCCTTTTTGTGGTATGAATGAGCTTTCAGTGAGATTTTGCCATTTGGCGTCAGACATTGAAATGGCCTTGCTTGAATATTTACTTTTTACCTTCTCCAATCACCGTCTCATGGCTTTTCATTGTTATAGACATGGAGTATAAGAAAGGTAGAAAGTTCTTCTGGTGCTCACATCGATTCACCGTCGCGACCTGTAATAATTCATGCTTCTTTCTGTATTCTTAGGTCAAATGCTTTTAGTCGATCCAACCCAACGGCCCAATATAAACTCCGTGTATGGAGAACTCTCGGATCTTGCAACTACTCGCAATGTGCCCGCCTTCGATTCTATCATTTTCAATGATGACGTCAAACGGCGATTACGAATCGTCACGAAAAAACAAGGTGAGCGACCTATACTTCAACCCTACCGTTCGTCGAGAGGGTGGTAAGAGGGCGAACTGTCGAGGTGGACGCATCGGTTTATTCACCGCCAAGCATGATTTGTCAATGTGTGTGTGTGTGTGTGTGTTTAAAGAGTTCTTGTAAACAGTGACTAATGAAATACTGCTGTGATTAAGAAATACCAATCAACCTGCGGAATGCTCTCTCTCTCTACCCAGTTTCCACTCATGTACTTGCTGACAGTCTACTACTTGTTTTTGGTTGTCTCGAATCTTCGAAGCAACCACCATGCTTTTCGATTGCCCCGTCCCATTCTTGTCGGTGCATAAAAGCTGTTTCTGCAAAGGCTAAGGACCCTTTCAACCGTCCTTGTAGCTGACTACGAAACCCCCTTGTTAGATCTAAAACACCACTTTGCCTACAGTCAGGCTTTTGCATTGATGCACTTCATGATCTTCCGGCGACGATGGGTGTGAGCACTTGCTAAATGTCTGTACCCGTTTCTGATTGATCCAGCAAGTAAAGCCTAGCATTTCAACACATCACTTGTTGGAGTGATTACCGAATTTGTCCACCGTGTGTAATCGAGGTTTTAATCGTCACCATGTAGACGCGTCTGCTTCCCAATCCACCCGACCTGCCCAACCTCCGCCGTCGTCAACGACTTCCAACTCCTCTCAAGCTCCACCCCAGAGCCGGGCTGCTCCTCCGGCCAGGCCGACCGCCCCACCGCACCTGCATCCCCCCAGTGCCCACAACCACAGACGCTGCCACGCCGCGTCGGGTGGATCGTCCTCGCTGGAGGATTCTGGTGACCAGCCACCTGTCGACAAGGCGTCCGGTGGAGTCCTCGGCTTTCTCAAGGGCAGCGCCGGGCATTTGATCAAAAACATCCGTGAAACCTCGGTCAGGGTTATGGAAGCTGTCACTGCGTGAGTGTTCTCTCCTTGATTGCGTAATCCAGGTGGCCTTTTCCCCCACTTCCCGACGTCGGCTGAGAAAGCCGTGCGCGATCAGTTCACGTCACAATAGTGTGTTCTTATGGCAGGATTTTTAACTCATCTGGTTGGTGCGATTGCAGGATTTTTAACTCAAACAAAAATAGTGCTTAGGATATTTGTTATTCGTGAACTCATCCAAAACACTTGCAATAAAAAAGCAGACGTTGCTTTTCCACCAACCTGATAATGTCACCGCTAATCTGTCAGTCATATCGCAATGCGTGAACGCTTTCGAATGCCAATAATTCTGCTAACCCACATGGCGATTTGTAGCTTTCATCTCAGTACTTAAATCTCAAGAAGTTTGAACTTTGGGTGTTGTTTTATCCGTGGTATCTTCTATGCAAACCCCTTAACCTCTGTTAGATTTGAAGCAGTGGCCTCTGGAGTGAAACCGCTATCCACTGATTTGTGCCCGCGCTGTAAATCCGTGATTTAAATAAAATGATCGCGTAAGTAAAAGCAGGTCTTGTCGTGGTCATTTTCCCAGCCATTATTGTTCACGCTCGTCATTCAGTTGACTCTTTTTCAAAAGTAATTGTCCCACTTTTTGAGCTGTGCTTTTCTTAGTGAACACTTCCGCCGTCCAGGGGTTCAGTAAGTCCTTATGTAGAAACTTGTAATCATTATCTTCTGAGGGTGTGACCTAAGATGGTAGTACTGTCTTAGTGTTGCCCACATGGCACTGTAAACTAACCGATTTGACCTCCTCGCATAAACTCTTGAGAATCTCTCGTATGCTCCAGGTTGTAAATTCGGTGAGCCTCAAGAACAACACCTTTGATCTTATCTATCTTTGGTAGTTCTTCAGCGTGAAATTCGTTTTCCATGTCTTTTCAGTTACCGGTTGTGTACAAATATTTCCCAGTGTTGAGTGCATTTAATTTATTGCTTATTTTGTTATCTGAATCAGACTTAGTGTACTTCATATTGCCTTCCTAGTTGCTGCATGCGATTCTGGATTTAAAGGTTGCTGACTTTTAAGTCCTTTGAATCAAATTTCGCATTCCCTGTCCTATCCAAATGCACTACAAGTGCTTCAGAGCGATTGTTTCGGCTTCTTGTTGAATGCTATGCAGCCTCAAAAAATGATTTCACGTTTCTGTGCTAATCATTGTCGAGTCAAATGAGGAAAACTAATTCTCAAGTGTTCTCGTAAACTTCTTTTTGAATGAAGATCATTAAGTGGCAAATAATTTAAGCTATTGAGCAATAAAAAGAGGAAGTCGCTAGTTAAGTGATTTTGTGTTACCGAGACTGAATGTATGTGGGTAGGTAAAAATCTTTTTCTTCTTGTTGTTGTAGTGCAATCCCGACCGATCTGGACCTACAATACATAACTTCGAGAATCGCAGGTAAGGTTTTTTGATATCATCCGCTAATACCTTCGCGTGAGTTCATTTGAATGCATATATCTGCATATTTTTTTGTACAAAATAACGACTGCTTGTGGTCCGTACAATAGGGCTCTATAATTGCACTTCTAAATTTAAATCGCCTCTCGGTAGGAAGAAGACGACGATTTGATTACTTTGGGGCTTGTCTTTATGCAAAAGGTGGCAATCATCTTGGGCTCTTGCTGGCTTTAAGTCGAAAGTGTGCCAACAGATCTTCACAAGTCGTTTATAGCCAGTAAAAGGTCCTTCTTAATGGTGCTCCAGACCCCCTTGTCTGTGAAAATCTACGCTTGTCTTTTCTCTCTATGACATTCCACTGGGCTTGAAACAACCTACCTTCTTGTCGTTTTCATGCCCCATGTTCTCGTTTACAACTTTTTTTCAGTAATGTCGTATCCGGCCGAAAGTGGCTTAGAGGTCTTCGGGAGCCGAAATTCGATGGAGGAGGCGCAGTCCTACCTCGATCGACACCACCCCGGCAGTTACGCTGTCTACAATTTGAGCCCCCGCTCGTATCGGTCGAGCCACTGGTTTGGCGGCCGCGTCTCCTTCCGCCCCTTCGAGGCCCATCGCGCGCCCACCCTCTGGTCCCTGGTCGAGTTGTGCCAGAACGCGCGACTCTGGCTCTCCCAGAAGCCCAACAATGTCTGTGTTGTCCACTGCACTGACGGACGCCAGTTGTCCGCTGTTCTCGTCTGCTGTCTGCTCTGCTTCTGTCGAGTCTTCTCCGAGGCGTCCTCGGCGGTCAAGTTTTTCATTTCAAAACGCGGACCTGTTCATCTCACGCCCGCGCAAATGCGGTAAACGTGATGTGTAACTTTTGTTACTGGCCTTGGCAAGGTTTCAGCTTGTCGTCGAAGCTTCTACTGATTTCAGTCAGACTCACTTTACCTAGCAAATTACTCTAATGGGTACAATTTTATTGTTCCTAAATTACCCTCGTCCGTCTAACTTTGAGGTTTTAGGTGTAAATTACCTTGAACATTTACCGACCAACACTTTCGTATAAATCTTTTGCGGGTCGTGCAATTCCTATTAAAGCATGTAACGTGTCGTGTGTTTATTTTGACTTTTCGTCTTTTTAAAAAAAAAATCGGTAGTTTAATGTCTTATGAACCTCACATGAACCGGTTTGTTGGGGCGATTCCGCAACGTCTTCTACAGCAGAAATTTCCTTTTCCTCTAACATTTGAAGATCAGAGATGTTTTTTTTTAATTGTCTGACACTGCTGCCTGTTTTATTGCAGTTACATCGACTACGTGGCAAAATTGGTAGCGGTACCTCCACACCTTCCGCACAACCACCCCATTGGTCTGCTCAGCATTATACTCAGTCCTATTCCCACCTTCAATCGTCTCAAGTCAGTGCGCCAGACTTAGAGCCTGTGCTCTGCCTATAAATAGTTCCCGTCTCGGAGTCTGTTCTTAGTTTGCACATATCTGGTTAATTTTTGCTTGAATTTACTAATAAGGCAGAAATAACGAAATGCAAGCGTTATTGGGCATTGCAAACAAAAGTACTGGTTAGCGTGTGTGGTTCTTAGAAATTGGATCTTACCTGCATTCACCGCTGCGTCAACTTCACGTCCCCGCCTAGATGCGCAGCCTGCACCGAGTGGGGGGGGGGCATGTGGTGCGGTGAATGCGCCAAACAAGTGTTCAAATACCTAAATGGCCCGCTGCCGTAGATGTGCAGAGGTAACTGGGTTTTCCCAGTTTTCTAGCCACGGAAATATGAAAAACAAGTTTGCTAAATGCCCCCCTAGGTATTTTGTTTGCTGTCACCAGTACACTTAAAATGCAATGTATAATGATTCTAACCAAACGTCTTATCGCTTCCAAGATCAAGCGGCATTCCCGACAAACCTCCATTTGCTCACCGTGAGCAGCGTCTCTAGCATGTGAACTCCTAATAATGATTGCGCTCTTATAACGCTACAGTGTTCTAATGCTAATGAGAAAAAGTGGCACGATTCGGGGATTTTCGGGTAAATTAGAGGTATTGGCACTCGCCATCACACGCAAGCGTGAATCTGCTGCCTCTACGCATTGAGCAATCTTAACCACTAGAATCCATGGGTCAAATGTCTTCTCCAAGCATGTTTTGTCGTCAGTATTCTAGTGAGAGGTTTTCCTCTATGTTAAAGGAAATGAACTTTTTGAAATTTTGACTGTTTCAACTTTTTTAAGGAAATATTGATGTTTATTGAATTATAATTGCGAAATTGAAGCTATTGTGTACTGAGGGGGCTTTTCAAATGTGTACCAAGATTCTTGGCACAAAACCACCTGCAATAATCTCTTCCTACCGTTAGCTTTCCTTCGATCATTTTCTGTTCGTTTTGTATTCTCTTTGTAGGAATGGCTGCCGCCCCTTTGTCGAAATTTACCAAGGTGGCAAGAAGGTTTTCTCGTCAATGACTGATTATGAGTCCCTGCGGTGAGCCAACGAATCCTTGAATTGCCCAAATCTTGCTTTCCTAACGAGGCATTTGTTTTGATTAGCCTCGGCTGGCTAATCAGGTTTGGTGTCGTGCGTGCTCCAGTCCTGCCTCTCTTTCCTTCACCCCAAAATGCTTTCAGTTTCTGCATTTTTTCGGTGTAGGTTATCACTGCAATTCGTTGGTTCGAAATTTGCACTAAACAGTGACTTCTCCAAGAAATGACGTATTTAATTTAATTCTGCTGTAACGTTTTGTCTTTTCACACAAATTTTCCGGCACATGCGCCCACCCGCGAAATTATCTGTGTTGACAAAACAGCTAGTCCCAACGGTGTATGTTGCCAATTAAGCAAAATGGTATTCTATGCGTGGTTTTTGTCCATACGTTAAACACGCAAAATGAGTTTGTCGCTGCTCCTCCACTGTCACACCTCCATTTCGATCCAACTGGAGGTGTAATAGTTCGAAGCCTGCTGTTTCGCCAAGTCTCATTCCATCGGTCAATCCTTACAAGACGATGACGCAATTGCAGGTGGCTTGATCTCCGATCTCCTATTTTTCTTCGTCTAGGGTTTACCTTATGGCCTTTTTTTCCAGTATTGGTATGTAATGCAAGTCGTGTCATGTCATGTTTACTTCCACCTTAGAACTTACGAGCTAGAGGATCGGAAGATGGAGATTATCCTCAATGGTTTATCCGTGTACGGAGACGTTACGATCGCCGTCTATCACGCTCGGTCCTTCTTTGCCGGAAAAGGAAAGGTTCGTTGGTCTGCTTTAATGCCCTCGAATCGTTCATCGTTGTTTTTCACGTGGCTATTGTAACTCCCCCTACCCTAGCGGCTGGTCTCATGTGGCATCTTTCAACTGGTCGTATTCTTTTACGCTGCTCAATTTACTCAGCCATGCCTGAAAACATGCTCGTTAGTTAATGTACTCAGGCATTTCGACCTCGCCTTAGAGGTGGCAACTGCATTCTCTGTGCTTCTGCCTGCCTCCATATAAGTTTTGCCTTTCCTTCCTCCTTCTTTAAGGCCTCGTCTGTCAAAATTTGTCAAATTCAGTTCCACACTGGCTTCATCGGCCAGGAGGTTGAAAAGGTTTCCTTCATGAAGTAAGTCTTCTTTGTGTGCTTTATTGTGATTTCCAAGTGCACGATGGTAGAAATTGGCTATCTCGTTTCGGGAAAAAAACTGCATTATGATCCCGGAGTCCTAGTAAGTGGAGTGTGATTGGGTGTTTAGCTAACAAATCCATTTTACCCGACTACCGTGAAGGTACTGCAAAGCCCAACGTTGGGTTGCTCCATCAGTTTTTGAAATGTCTCTCAGGTAGTTGGTTTATTCTCTTCCGCCCACCCTGTGTGACCAGGTCCTGCCCAATCAAATCGCATTGTTGTGTGTCTTAACGCACTCGATACCAGTCCCACAAAAGGTGTGCCTTCAAGCGAACCCCTCCAGTGCGCTCTGTGGCATTGTTGACTGGCTGAATTGTTCTTGTTGTTGTGTTGACGTGCAGGTGTGAGCTGGACCACCTGCACAGCGCGGGCCCGAGTGGCGCCAACGCGCCTCAGGCCACCGCTGCGCCACCCACCAGTCGGTACGCCGAGAGTTTCCACGCCACCCTCCACCTCACGGTTTCGCCCAACGAGCGTCCGCGAGGCGCCTCCTCCCTGGTGTTCCCCTGGGAGACCCTGCCCTCCGAGGGCGCTCGCAAGCCCATGCTGTGCTTCTCCGACGCCTTCGAGATGCGCGGTGTCATGTCTCCAGCCGCTCTGAGAAACGCCGGTATGTTTTGGCCGTCTGTGCTTTTACTCGTTGTTAGCCTCTTGTCCGTTGTCTGCTGCTCCTGAAACCGCTTGGAGGTGGGGGACCACACATATTCCCACCGTGGTGCTCACTCCTAGCGTTCCAAATTCCACGTCTGACATGATTTCTTGATAGTTTGCCTTCTGTCGTCTTGCCCGTGAGGAGTTATTCATCCGCAGCCGATTTGTGATGGAAGTGACATGTTATGCATTGTGATTATTGTAACAGTTTATGGCTCTGGTGTGTTTGTGTGACAGGTTTGTTTAGGCTGTGTTAAGCGCCTACGTGCCAGCTTTGCATCGACTTTACCGACTGTTGTAAAGGTCATGCCTGAAGTGAAGCGTTAGTGGACGCGAATGAGTGGATGTGTGTGTTTGACATGAATTTGTTAAATGTCCCCGTCTACTTTTCCAGGCTATTCGGAATCCGGACACCCTTTGCGTGCGGCCGGAAGCCCCGATCGCACTGGCCAAAGTCCTCAACCCCCCAGCCCGGAATCAGTCGCGAACAGTCATCAAGAGGTGTCAGAGGAGGAGGAGGAAGGTGAACGCCCTCCCTCTCTCGATCCCTCAGCGCCTACAGCCACTCTGATTGAGGGGCTGGACTGGAATCAGGCCCCCAAGACTCACATTGATCCAGAGTTCCCGTCGTCTCCAGCCGCAGTACCGCAAAATGCCTCGACCACTTTGCCTGTAAGCCGAATCACACGTTCGTCTTTCGATTATTGGCTCACTTCAGTAGGAGAACGTGCTGATGTGTGAAGTGATTTGTTGGTAAACGGTAGCATGACTAAGTGGACTGAGGAACTTCCTTCTCGTTGCTCAAATTCGTGCTTTTAACTTTTTTTGGATAACATTACTACTGGTGAATACTCAGTAGTCGGTATATAATTCGTGTTCCTCTGATGTGGTTGGGCTCCATTTCCGAAAACTGGGACTACATCGCTGCCGATCAAAACACCTCTTACCCTGTTTAACCCTGCTTACAATTATTTAAGCGATAGCAGGTGTTTTTCGTAAACAGTGACGTTTGACTGGCACCCTTCTCGCATCAGATACTGCGAAACGTAAATAAATCTTCCCCAACTGTATACAAAACTTTAGATTTTTGGTACCGTGTACTTGGATAGCAGCTATGGAAATTTTTTTGCCATGCAAAAAAACCCATTCGCAGTCTCCTTCTGGCTCCAGTTTACGCCAAATTTTTCCTAGGCGAACGGCGACTCGAGTGTGGGTGACCTCCTGGGTTTCGCATCAGCAACCACTGCTCCAGGATGCTCAACGGTCGCATCGGAAGAAGCCGGTTCTGTTAATCCCACAGCACCCCTTCTGGAGGACATATTCGAGAGCGCAGTGCCGTCTACGGGTGTAGAGCCTGCCTCTTGGCACGACCCCTGGGGTGGGTCGGCCAATCTCAACCCCTTCGACCCCCTCGGAACGGCCACTGAGCCCCCAGAAAACGGCTCAGCAGTCTCGGCGGAATTCGATCCCTTCCTCGGCAGGACAGCTCCGATGCACTTCTCAAAGCACACGAGCAGCAGCACCTCCAACCTCTCCTCGGCCTGTCGCGGTGCCGCCGGCACTCCCTCCGTGCATACGTCGGCCTCGTCCTCGAATCTAACGCAGAACAGCAATCCGTTCCAGGTTTTCGATGAGTTCTTCGAGGCTGCTGCGGCAAGTGCGAAAGCTGGCTCATCCACCACCAGCCCGACCCACCAGCCCTCGTCTACAAACGGTTTGTGCTTGTTAAAGCAGCATTTTCTGCAAGTCACGTTCCTCTTAGAATCCTCTTTAGACTGCCTATTTGCTAGTTCTGTATAAAACCGCTCGTACGTCTGTTCACGATGCGGTTTTAGATGTCAGTGATCAAATAAGTTTGTGGGCTAGCAGACAACGACAGTGTGGTTTATTGCATGCCTTCCGCTTTGCAGCCACTCCATCCAACTTTGGTTTCGCTTACTCCCCGAACACTGCGCCGCGTCGGCCGGCCTTCGGCTCGCAGGCGCAGGCGTCAACGCCAACCCACGGTAGCAACTCGTGCGCATCTCCCAGGCACAGTCAACCACCACAGTCACAGCCCCCACCGCCGCCACCGCCTCCCCCTTCTGCCTCCCAGGGCGCACGCCCCTGGCTGAACGAGGACGCATTCGAGGATCTGCTCGGCGACTTCGGCGCACCGGGACAGAGCTTTGGCAGCAAACAGAACCGAACGCCGAGGACGCTGGCCGAAATACGACATCAAAAGTTGGCCGAAACCGAGGACCCAGAAGCCATGAAGGTTTGTGTGTGTGTGTGTGTGTTGTTATATCTTCTGCACATGGAAGAGTTTGAGACGTTAAAGATGTTTTAGTCCAGATAAAGTTGGTTAAATGAGCTCCTCACTGTTGGAGATCGTTGCCGTCCCGCGGGGCCTCGAGAATGAGTTTATGCTTTCGTCAGGAGTTCTTCGTGCTGCAACGATGCGACTCCATGGACGTGCTAGTGTGCTATGGACAGTGATTACAGTGATTGAAAAGCGCTGGACACCATGTGCGCTTGAAGGTGGTGTCGCAGAGTCGACCAGCTCAATCGTGGTCCCTTTTAATCCGACTCTGACTTGTAGGTTGGTATATCGTTAGGGCGTTTGCCGTCCTGTGTTTCTCTGTGCACCCACCAGAAGTGGTTCGCGTTCTTCAGGTTGTGAAAGGGTCAGTTCTAGCGGATGAAATCGACGCCTAAAGCCGCGTAGTGTCAGCTAGACAATAGGGTCCCCTCCTTTCTCTGCAATGCGTGCACGTGGTCTTTACCTTTTTTATTGTTTATCTGACCTTCGAGTATGAATTGCGTCGAAATTGAGTCCGTCTTTTCTGTATATGTCAATAAACTAAGATTTTAGTTGTAAGCTGTTTGTCCTGAGGACCCTAATAGTGCGCTAGGTGGTTGCAGCACTAATTACCTAGACTCCTCTGCTGATTGGTCGACGTCGTAAGGTGTCTTGTCCACATATTCGTCCCCACTAAGGTAGAATGTATTGCTGGGTTGTGGAATCGGGCACTGGTCCAAGAGTCGTAGCCCGAACGCCCATCTAGCAGTGCAAAAAACAGATTTGTATGTCCTTGCTTCAGATTATCCAATGGTTGGATGGAAAAGAACGGAACGTAAGGGCTCTTCTGTGCACCCTAAATTCGGTCCTCTGGGAGGGCGTTCGCTGGGAACAAATATCCATGGCTGACGTGATGACTGTGAAACAAGTGAAACAGCAATATCGAAAGGCCGCCCGTGCTGTCCATCCCGACAAGGTAAGATCCCAAAACGCTTATAACTACTGGGTCCTAATATTGTCATCAAACAGTTATCCGGTCAGCGCAAGCTCGCGTCTCGTGAGTGCCATTCAGTCAATTTGGCACGCTCTTTATCCGGCGGTGCGCATAGTAAACACACCTGCCTCTCGGCCAGTTACATTCTCTTACTGCGCCTTTTAGTGGATGAACACACAATACGTGAATATGGCTAAGCTAATTCTCGTCGAGCTCAATGACGCGATGGCTGAATTCGAGCGCCAGGAGCAGTGAGTTCTTTGGCAAAAATCTATTGAGTACCAGCTATATCGATGTTGTGATTGGCCCCTCTTCTTTGGCGCACAAAACGATGAAACCGTCTTTCCAGTTCCCCACGCATTCCGCTCCCCTCTCCATCTACCCCCGCGGCATCGTCCTTCCTGTGAAAATGTGTAACTATGATGTACATGCACTACTCTTGACCCCGAATCATGTTATTTACTAGTACTTGACTTACTTTACCTTTCTCATCGCGCCCTCCTGAAGACCATATCATCCACGCCATTGTTGTTATGAGTAACTGTATCTATCCAACAATATGGCGCAGACAGATATTCGGTTCGAGTACAAGTTTTCATTCGTTGCTGTATGAAATGAACTTATGAGAATGTCTAGCCCCTGGCAAATTCGGTTGGTCAGGCTCCAAACAAATAAGACTCAGCCGAGTAGTGTATATTTCAACTGCCAGTAGTATTACAAATTATTTGATTGTCTGAATTACAATTTGTCGAATGACTGATTGACTAGTAGCGGTAATGATCAGATTTATAGGGTCCATCTTGAGGAATGCCCAGGTACTCGGATTGTTCTTTCGTCAGCCTGGTCAACTTGACTCCCAGTTGGTCCAAGTGAGCAGCCGCAACCTCCTCATCCAACTAAAAAAGAAATTGCCTGCACACTAGCGTTTTTCCCAAAAAGTTACGGAACAGGGACAAATTTGAGGCAAATTTAGCGGGGAATGAGAACATATTAGTAAACAAGCACCCACCTTTTTCGGGAGCATAAAAACGCCGACGTGATATTTCTCGGGTTTTGTAAAAAGCTCAATTTGTGCGAGAACCTGGTTCACAAAAGAGTTCGACATTACGAAGCTGGGATGACCGTGGGCGCACCCGAGGTTGACAAGGCGTCCCTCAGCCAAAACGATGACGTGGCGGCCGTTTTTAAGCAAATAACGATCAACTTGTGGCTTAACCTGGACTTTTTCAACACAATTTGCGTTTAGCCATGCCACATCGATTTCGATATCGAAGTGGCCAATATTGCATACGATTGCATCTTCTTTCATCTGTTCAAGGTGTTTTCCGAGAATGATATCCTTACACCCGGTTGCTGTGACAAATATTTGGGCTTCCTTCACCGCTTCATCGATAGTTGTTACCTCGTAACCTTCCATCACGGCCTAGAACAACAAAATAATGTTAAATGTGACGGCAAATGACTTTTAGAGGGCATAACGGATACAAATACCTGTAGGGCGTTTATAGGGTCAATTTCGCTGACCAAAACGCGGCAGCCATACGAACGCAGAGCTTGACAACACCCCTTGCCGACATCGCCGTAACCAGCGACGAAAACAGCCTTTCCTGCAAGCATAACGTCGGTGGCGCGCTTAATACCATCAACCAAGGACTCTCTGCATCCATAGAGATTGTCGAATTTGCTTTTAGTGACCGAATCATTGACATTCATAGCAGCACACTTTAGTTTGCCGTTCTTCAAGCGCTTATAAAGGTTGTGGACACCCGTTGTTGTTTCTTCGGAAATGCCTTTGATACCACTTAGCAAATGAGGATATTTCTCATGAACGAGATTGGTCAGGTCACCTCCATCATCAAGAATCATATTGAGAGGTCCATCTTCAAAATTGAGAGTCTGTTCCATACACCACACATACTCTTCCTCCGTTTCGCCTTTCCAAGCGAACACAGGAACGCCAGTCTTAGCAATTGCAGCAGCTGCGTGGTCTTGTGTGCTGAATATATTACATGAAGACCAGCGCACTTTGGCGCCAAGTGCTGTTAAAGTTTCAATCAAAACAGCAGTCTGGAGAGTCATATGGAGGCATCCGGCAATGCGAGCTCCCTTTAATGGTTGCAACTCGCCGTATTTAGCTCGCATTTTCATTAACCCCGGCATCTCATTCTCTGCTATCTCTATCTCACGTCGCCCCCATTCAGCCAAGCTAATATCAGCTACAATAAGAACAAGAGAAGCGCATTGATGTAGGTATTTTCCACAGTAAAAAATACTACTGCTTGTACTCACCGACTTTGTACGCCGGACCCATGATCAGCGTGCAATTGAAGAATAAGGACAGCCAAAGAGCAGACACCACAACCAATGGAATCACGCTTCATCATCCAATAGACACTGGAATGCTATTCTATTGTGCAAAATCATTCAAATCGTTTTAAAAATCCAATGGGTTGTTTTGCTTAAATTTTCTTTTCAATGTGTGTGATATCATAAAAATTTATTGATTTTAATGCGTACTTCTAGACATTGTTAGACCAGAGCAGTTAGTCACACCTCTGTCCATTGTCCATTATCTTCTTCCCTCTTGTTTCTAGAAAAAATTCTGTGCCTGCTTTGAAAATACTTCAAAACCAGTTTCCTGTGTAACAGTCTTACAACTTTTTAATTGTTCATAACGTTGACATAGAGTAAGAAATGTGTGATTTTAATATTGCTCTCATACGATAATAGAAATGCATTTTATAGACCCAAGATTTGATACCGTCATGGTATTTAAACAATTGTAAAACAATAAATCCTCATTATCTGTAATTTGCAACTTTAGTTGTTCCCTGTACTGAATTTATTGTATATACATCCGCTTGTGTGTTTATACCTAAAATGCTTGAGTCATGTATGCGCTAACATTGAGACGTGTGTGAGGATAACTCGAGACAAAATTTTGTGGCACTGAGGAGGATCCGTGTGGCTGGTGATATGCTAGGAAATGAAATACCTTTCCGGATTAATAAGTGTGAATCCACGAGATTCAAAAGAGACTTACCGAGGTTAATAAGTACTAAAGTGCAGCTATTTTTTTATATATTTAATCATCTGTTAAATTTAAATTTTTTATCTCTCATGTATGAATCTGTAAAAAATAGCTTATTTTACTGCAAAAATAATTAATAATATGCAACTAAACCCGCTTTATGAAGTTTTGAACCCTTCACCAACATATATACAACGTTTGAAATAGGCGTCGATCGTAAAAAAATAAGGGGTTATTGAAGAGTTACCTTGGTTTCATCAAGAACGTGAAACCCGGTGTCCAATGGAAGTACGCACGCAAATGAATACTTTAGAGAACAATAGCAAGTCTGACTTTCATTTTTGGCATAACAAACTTCTGAATTAATTTCCTACAATGTTCGGTTTATGGCATTGAGTCGAAAACCCTTTTTTTATTTACTAGTTTAAACAGCTGTTTTTGTGTTTGGCAGGACGGTTCCACTTGTATGTAGATGCCAAAGCATCCATGAAGCAAAGTCAGACTTTCAATTAGCTTATTGTTGTGCTTATTATTATTTGATTTAAAAAAAATGGAAATGATCGTTGAGAATTAACTAAATAGTTAAACAGGGGTAGGCGCCATTTTGAATAACGCGATAACGCGTAGAAAACGCTAAAGAGGAGTACATTTCATGTTTAAATATATACTGCCTAACAGAAGAAATACGTGCAAATGCCTACACAGATACTGTTATTTGGTTCGATTGATCTATATAAGGCAGTTATGGAACTTCTACTTCGAAATCGACGTATATATTTCAATTGGTATAACAATAATGTGCACCATAGGTTTAGCATCCGACATTGAAACTGAAATATTAATCCTTAAGTTACGGCACATTTATTTAGAGATGCAGCTTAAGCGTTTCGTAGGCCGATTTTCCATGCGACCGATTTCGTTTTCAGATTTCTTTTGGAAACATGACCACCATTCGACGTAACCAAGCAGAAAATTTGTGCTTAAGAGAAAAGTCAATGACAAATTATATAAAAATAAGATTAAATAGGCAAAACGCAGAAGCCTGTAATTTTTTGGAATCTTTGCCCAAGTCTGCAAATAATGGTAATTTCGAAGAAATGAACAGTATTTTGCTATCCTTTTTAATGTATTAGGTTTAATTTTTATGTTTTTTAAGGCTTATTGAGGCAAGGAGAACAATCTGAAAAGGCTGTAAGCATTCAGTCCGATCGAGATTCTTTTGAGAATGTTTCCACGAATCGCAAGAATTTTTCGTGTGTACGTAGTATTCGTGATGATCCTTTCCAGGTAAATTGCCGAAATATTTTTGGTGGATTGTGAGCTATCATAATTAATTCCTTATTCGTTTTTACAAAATTATAAAGTATTATATCTCACTGCAATGTCCTTCCTCCCTATTTGGGAATCGACTGTGAAAGCTTTGCGTGTGTAGAACCCTTACAAAAGTAATAACGAGAGTCGTTTAATGTTTAAGATTTAGTAACCTAGGTTATCTGTAAATGTTGCTTATATATAGAGCATCTAGAACCGCCGTTGAAATAGCAACATTAGCCATTCCTTTAATTATTTAATTGTGCTGCCCTTAATGAGAAACGTATGGATATTTAAATTTGAGAATGCAAGGCAGCATTCTAAAACTTTCTAAAAAAAATTGTAGTTATTTTAGTGCATCGTTAATTTTTAGAATATAATGACTACAAGCACTCCAGTGTTACCAAAACTTCGCCTAAACCAAATTCTTGACCAACTCCTGCGAGCTGAACAGTGGGCAAAACACGTGACCAAAGAACTGCAACTAGTTCAAGCTGATTATGAAATGAAAAATACTACTCCACAAGCAAGCAACACACAAGTTCTAAAGACAAAAAAATCTGGAAAATCCAAACACTTTGTGGGTTTTCCACTCTCTATGGCTTAGAGAGCCGATAAGATGCAATTATCGTTTTATTTCCTTCATTTGCCCCTTTTAAAATAACTAGCAGGGGACTATGCGATATTCGTGGTTTGATTGCTGTATTAAACACTAAAATATTTAATTTGAAGTGTGTTACATAAGCATACATAGTTTTTAGTCAGAAAGCAAATAAATCGATACCTTAATTATTTTACTTTCGCCTCTGAATTGTTGGCTTCGAGAAACGTCCGTCCTTTTGCATCGCTATTTTAATTGTGCTTCAGAAAACACTAGTATTTCTTTAATCCCAGCTTAGTTGCTTTTATCAATTTAAATGTTAAACCAGCACTTACACTAGAGCTTAACAGTCTGGCAATTCATTGCTTGAATTGTATTCTGTATTTTTAGAGGTAATTCCACTAGTGACCTATGGCGTACTCATGAACCAGATTAGGTATTTATGTGTTTTGATTGAATGAGTAAATTGTGCATCAGCAAACGTTTGTTCTCTCGCGTACAGTCTAGCGCTAGGCATCTGAGAAATTCTGATAAGTGCACATCATCCACTTTTTATACCGTATTAACTCTAGAAAGTAGGCAACCTTGAACTTTGACATAAAAATGATCAAGTCAATTTATTTTTCAACTTGTGTTACCACGGGCAGCAAATCCAAATATTGTCTATTTTGGATATTGACTATTACATTTGGATTCTGTATCTAATTAAACACAACAGTGCAGTTTTTGCTTTTATTGTAAAAATTACTTTGTTTGTTGTTTTAGCAAAATAAATCGCAATCAGAACAGCATCACCGCAAGCTATATCGACGCAAAAAGATTAGGCAATCAGTTGAAGCTAACCTACAGCGTTCTGTGTCACTTGAACTCTTGCGAAACGGGTTTGATCTGTGCAATCATAAGCTTTCAACGACTGAAAGTGACTGCAAGAATACGAATAAACCGGAAGCGTCTACTCAAAAACAAACACTCAACCAAATTGCCAGCGGTGTAAGTCTAAACTGAGTTAGGGACATAATGGACCTGTAGTGCATTCCAAATAACAATTGTTTGCAACTAGAATCTGTTTTTATGTTTGCTAAATTTCTTTGCTCCCCAAAATATGACTTTGCTCAATCAGGTTGACTCGTTCCATCAAAGTGCTTTTTCCCCAACCGACATATTGAAATGCTCGACTGAAGAACCGCAAAAACCACGGTCCAAATATTTGGCGCCTCCAATTCGTGCTGTCGTACATCCTACTAATCGCGCGGATCATTCGCTTTCAAACAATCGAGTGTTTTCAATGACAAGTACTCCCAGGATTACTCCTGCTGTCCCTCGAGATAAATGGACAAATATCTCACAATCGCGGCAGTTCTCTGGGGTAATCTTAAATGTCTATTCAAACGCTTGTTACCTATTCGCATTTTTTCAGCTTAATTTGAGGGTGTAAAACCAGCTGAGTATTCTGATTCTATCGTTTTCTCTAATAATTAAACAAATTCCCGACGTATGTGCAAATAAGGTACTCATTCATCTCTAAAACATCCGTCAAAGTCAGTTGCTAACTAATATTTACATAATATATTTGAAAAAAGCTCCTCAAAACATGGTGCAGTTTGACGCTTAAACTACTAACCACTGTTACTGTTTAACCACTAATAATCAACAATTAGCTCTTTCTATAAAAGGCTGGTACAATGAATCATTTTATTTTAAACTTCGGATAGATGACAAATATGTTTCTATTGCACAAAATGCGTTAGTATTGGGGTGGTAAATCAGCATTTAATCCGATTTAATCCCCTTTGTTTGTTCGTTGGAATCATCACCGATATAATACGCAAAGGTGTATAATGTCATTAATTTTCTAAACCCACGCCTAGTTCAGTACCTTACGTTTTCTCCTTAAAAAAGTCATTTCAACCATCAAGTAATGATTAACACCTGACCCTCTACAAGCCGAGAGGTCCTGTAACAGACTCAAGGCCCTGCCAGTCGACGAATTACCTGTGACTGCTGGCAAAGTAAAATCTCTCTGCCGAATTCAAGTTCCGTCTACGTTCACCTCGTCATCTAGACACCCTAACTACATTTACTTTTGCACCGGACATCAAGACATTTTATTGTAATACCGCTGTGAAGCCAACCGTGCTAACACTCAACAACAGGCGTGATTCCTATTTTGAAGTTTACCAACCTCTTTACCGACCGAAGAACACTAATGGATTCAAACTTGTTTTAAAGTCTTACAAACGCTTTGGCACAAATTGCTTTCGAGAGACTGTGCTATCTTCAAAAAAAACTACATGGTTTTAACAGTTTCGATATAAAATGAATGACCGTTAGCAATCTGCGTTAATCCGTCACTTTAGTTCAAGGTTTTGACCCCTTCCTTTTACTAGGTACTCGGTCGGCTGTGAATAAAGTCTTGGGTAGTTGGTAACGGGCACGTTTTGCACAAAATCGACGCTAACTGATGTGTTCCTCGAGGCTGTACCGTAAGACTTTTCAGAATCTAATTAATCATGCCATTTTCTAATTTGAAGCCACAAACTGGCCCAGCCTCAGCCACGCACGAAACACTCGACTCTCGTGCGTTAATTACTTCAACCACCGCTGTTACTGTAAAGTAAAGAGGCGATGAACATTCCATGTCAGCAACCTAAAATCAGACGTTTCTGTCTCGGACCTTACTTCGGACAGAATTCTAGTATGTATTCCAGCAAAACACTCTGAGAACACGCAGTCAATCAGCAGCACATGCTTTGTAAACGGATGTTCTTGCCTGGTGATTACAGAGAATGACAGATGCATTTTTTTGGAAAAAACCTTATTGGCTGCCTGTATTTGCCAACCAATATCCGTAGTTTGTACTCTTTGAGATGCATATTTAGAAATGTGCACAATACGATGTGACACGTCATTCATGACCACAGATTTTTGCACGGGCATACTAAAACTAACGCCGCTTTTCTAGCCAGAGGACTTTTCGATACAGACCCAAATAGTACGTAGTCTATGAATGGTAGAAGTTTAGAAGTATTTAGAAGCAAAGTGTCGATGGCACTACGTCTTAGAACCGTTTATCGAAGACTGACTGATTGAAAGAAGCCTGATAATCGGATAAAATAGCTTTACAAAATTGGCCTTAATTGGCTGGTTGTCGCTAGGCGCATCTATCGAATGGCTCTAACCATACACGCCCATGCTACCACACATTTCCAACTCGCAAGGCTTTCATTTGAACAAACTGAACTCATACAAGGAAACATTGGGCCAGTCAATTGCAGTAATGACCTGATATTTCACAATACATGGATACATCAGCCACTAGAGAGACCAACAGAATACATTGGCCAAATTGCATAGACAGTTATGGCTGATTCAGCTAAGCTACTGCTTTTCAAATAGACGCACAGTCCATTTGCAAGGCCTTGGAATCAGTTCTGCTTAAACTGTGTTTATCGGTATTTACAACAACACTCTGTCTCCGTATAACGCTAATAACCTGAGAGCAGGGCAAAAAAATCGTAACTTTAAATGCCAGAAACTAGAGTCAGGGCTTTGGTGTGGTGTAGTTCTGAAAATATTAAACACATGTATGTCCTGATTTGGCCTAAATTCTGGTCTGAAATATACAAAGTTATTTTTTTTCTAAAAGCGAATATTTTTATTAGACCACTTACAAAGCGTAGCGTTGTAGGTCTACGTAAAATAATTCTGAAGAAAATTAGCCACCTTGCAGCTACACAGCAAATAGGTTGCTGTAACTTTGACCTGTTCTCTTTAAGATTTGCGCTACTCATTTTGAAACATACTTATAGTTAAATTTTGATATTTTATGCCTGATGACTAGGAGTTTAATAACCGAGCTTTCATTTTTAACAGATCCAGTATCTGTTTTTACATCCGATCCGCTACACATTGTGCTGGTTGCCTATTTGCACACAAATGCAAACGAAGCGGTCATTCGCAATTAAGCAGCCCTGTTTTGCTATTTTAAGGAGCAACAACGCATGCCGGCAAGCGGTATCCCAGTGTCACCTTCACCGTGCATCTGCTGCGCGGCGCAGGCCATTTCCCCGATTCAAGCCTCCCCTCCAAATTGCCATTCAAACGGTGCTGAGCTGCCAACATTGCCACGCTTCGAAGCCGATGATCAAGAAAGAAGAGAAAATCAGCCCCCTTCGAAGTGTCAGGTGCAAAGAAGGAAAACTTGTCGCTGTTTCACTCGCCAATTCGAATGAGTCCACTACACTCCTTTAGCTAAAATCACCAGATACCGAACTCGATTTTTCCGAGACAACTGTTTTCAACGGAATGCAATTTTTAATAAGAACAACATTGTGCACCGCTTGTTAGTTGAGTTGTCACCATTCGGGGGCTCCAACTGATATCATGTAAGTAGTCAGGTTGGGTTAGTAAGTTCCTTTTACGTCATCACGAACATAATCAGTTGTGGCACGTCATCATCTGCGGAATCAGTGAAATGTGATTTTAGCCTTTAGGCCAGTGGGTTCAAAAGTAATGGTCTGCGTGGCTATTTTTAGGGAAAAGGCATATAGACGCAATTTATTGACCAAATATGGTGAAAGCAAAGAGCCAGCCCACCCAGAGTTCGCAAACTTAAGTTAACTGCCGACACATGCAGGAATACCACCAGAAATCTACGTTTAATGGAGCACGACACTGCACCAAATGGCCGTGTACTTGACCCTACCACAAACCCTTCACACTTGTTTTAACAAAGAAATGACCTTATTGGCCATAAATTAACTTCCAAGAGAGTAAACAACAATACACGCCCAACTAAGAATGTCAGTCTATTGAAAAAAAGCTCTCAAACAATATTTGGTCTGATCCTGCATTTTACTTGCATGGCCCCAACAAATGCGTTATAAAACATGCCAACCCATCCAGAAAACTTCACACAGGCTTTAGCTAGTAATTTTTCAATAGCGTGTTCATGGACGACACATATGGACGAAAAGGGAGTACATAAAACGATCTGGTGTAATTTTATTTTCCTCGTCTACGTTGAATATGCCTATGTATTACTTGTTTTTTGGTTGATTGGTCAATGTTAAAGAAGCGCATCCTACTGTAAATTAGTTACATGAACGTCACACCCAAGGGAAACAAAAACGAACTCTTGTCACGCATGCAACAGTGTTTGCGCCCGGTTCCGCAAAAACTCTATATTTGATCAAACAGCATAACGGTGCAACACAACGTGCCCTAGTTAAATCAGTAGGTAAAATCATAGTCCAAATGATGTTTGCTGATCCGTATTTAAGTGGCAATACGGACCGGCGAACACCCCAACGGCGACGCCCACTTGGCCGCTTCACACACACGGAAAAGTGGCTTGGCAAAAAAAGGTAATTCGTGCAGATGGCCTCATTGGGCGTTGACTTGGGAAGGATAGGATCGCGATTCGGAATCACGGTGTCGAGAGAGAACGAGGTGGACGTAGGTTCCAGCAGTCCTCAGGAGGTGCACTGCATCCTCGTGGGTTGCCCCGTCCAACTTTTGTCCGTTCACCTGAGGAAATTTGTTGAGGCATGAAACTGGCTGGCGGCAGTATATAACATTTAGCTACCAAGGCATCGAACCTATAGGAGCGTTCGATGGTGAATAATTGTAGCTAAGAAAAAGGGTCCACGCACACAATACCAATACTACTCGGCAAAACATTATGGTGGCCCTGTGGCGGAAAACTTTATTACGTCCACACTATAACCAGGATTCGCCTGCATTCGGTTAATTTGTATTAGCAAAAATAAGTAAAGGTAGGTGTAGGCGACTCAAAGAGGGCATCAATCAACAACGTCGAACATGTTTGTGTCGAGTCGGGGCTCCATCGCCTGCTGATCCATCAGGCTGCAACAGCTTCGATTGGCCCAATATGGGACTTAAGCCTGCACCTTCTTCATTGACTTAATTTATCTGAGCTTTGAAACTGTCCAAGAAACAAATGATAAATGTGAATTTTAGCTAATTTGGAAAAGCGATTTCTTACAAAAGTATGATAAAACAACTAAATTTTTGACACTCGTTGAACAAATGGAAGAATCGGAGCATTGTGAAATGTCTACCAAAATGATTAGAAACTGGTTATTTGAATGGTGATATGCAAACCTGGATGAGTCGATCTCCGGGCTGGATTTGTCCATCCTTCTCGGCCAGGCCACCGGGGGTGATTTTGGTGACGAAAATGCCTTCAGGACCACCTTCAGCTACCTGTCCGCCAGCTATAGTGAAACCGAGTCCGACGGATGCAGAGGGTTTGACTAAGTTGGCCTATTCGAGCCAAGAAAACTGGGATTACGTGGACGATGCGAGAGAATACGCCTCTGAACTCACCTACGCACGCATTCACGTCATTTACTATTCATCTCAAAACAGGAACTCTTAAGTTTCCAATATTCGTGGCACTGATTTACTTAAAATAGCTGAATTAACACGATGATACAATAGAGGCTACAAGTACACCAGACGTTGATGAGGGGCCATAAGTGTCCGTGTTTGGGTTCAAGCTGTGAGATTGTTGCAAAAGCGGTGACTGAGTATTTGGAAGAGTGTGCGAAAAAAAGCGGGACTGGAAATAAATGTATCAGTCTTGAATTACGCGAATTATGCACAAAACTGGATTTGCGTGAAAAATAGCCCCTCGGGTAATCACATTAATTCTACCAGCACTACGGTTTGAGCCAAAATGTGCGAATGAAAAATTGAGTCCCATTTCAACTATGCAGAAATGAAGTGGCCAGTAATTAGCAGTTAGACGTAATTTAAAAGTATGAATTATAAAAAAAACAACGGTTAATATATGCTTCCACGGCAGATATTTAACCTACACCTTCCTTAAAAAGAGTGCATCAGCTAATGTGTCGTGGTTTTACAAGGAGAATAACTCAGAAACGCAGATGACACTGCACTGTATGCATATGTAGAAGCGTAAAGAAGCAGGCTGAAATTAATAAAATGGATTAGACGAAATCTACTGGGCCAATTGAGACAAAATTTGATACTGAAATGGCGTAAATGCACATTAGTAAAATAGCAAAGCCCTAGTCGTCACTTATATCCACCTCGGCCTCTAATAAGAAACAGCGACAATAGCGTCTCCCGGAAATCCACTTCCTGTGATTACAATTGCGACGTGGCAGGCGGGAGCAACAGGCGATTATAAAAAAGTTCATCGGATGAATTAGCAGAAATAAAGACGGTAAAATACTCAACGCTGCCCGGCTCACAAGCTTTAGATTAATTCACAGTGTTACTTCCTCAGGAAGTGATATGGGATAAGCAGGAAAAATGATAACTACACGAGGCCACGTTGCAACATACAGTGGCGATGCGCTTTCAAAATTGGTTTGCAGCTGTCCAAAGTAGAAATTAGTTTGTAAAAATTAAACTAAATTGTTTCTTTACGAACACCACTCACTCGGCCAAGATTGGTGTCCAAATAAACATCTTACAAGACACCATTCTGACGAATTTCAAAGATTGGCCACTGAACGATGTCACGTAACACGCGACTCGTCGGAACTGAAGCATGCATCCAACAAATAACATACTGGGAGCAACTACAGGCAGATATAGACGGAACGATCTAACGTAAATGTTTAAAAACAACACAGAAGCGTGTGTGGAATTAGCATAAAGAGCATTAAAAGAGAGGGGGTATAATGGGGCAGCTTTCAGACATCAAAAGACAGGTAATGACAACGAATGAGCACTTGGCTTGGGTCGATGCTAGCGCCTGTTATTAAATACACATGGAACATGGGTATACGTTTATTACTCAGTCGAACAAAATGCCATATTTGGTGGTAAAAGGCCACTAAAACAGCGCACGAACAACTAAAGGAGTTTTTATGAAGACAGGAAAAATTTACACACATGCACCATACCTCGTAGTAGAGGTCGTCATCAAGGGTCCGTTCATCGTCTTGCACATTCTCAGCGGACATCGGCGAGTATGGATCTCCTTCGGATGAAACGACTTCAGCGCCCGAAAAACGACGGATTATCTGATGGTAAAAGTAGTCAGTAGTTAGCTATCACTACTGATTTAAAAAAGAGTAACAGCTCCTCTACATGAGGAGGTACTCAGCCAGAAAAGCACGCACACAGCTCGCTGTTTCAACCAGTTTTATAAAATTTTCATACTTAAATTGCATTGTTAGTGAAACGAAAACGAATAAATTAAATTGGATGGTAGTTTTAACAAAGAAAAGTTGAAGGCCCGAATCGTTTTTGAGCAGAAAAAGATGAGCATTTTGAATCGAAAATCCAGTCCCTTATTAAGAGTTTCCATTTGCCTTGTAAAGGGGGAGCATCAAGTCATGTTACATCGTTAATATAATAACAAATTGTGCCAGGGTTTTTTGAGTATGAATGTTGAGTAATAGATCAGAGTTAGACTCTGGTATGCTGCTAAAGGCAGCGAGTCCATGTCAGAAAAAAAGCATAACCTAAGACGTTATTGAAAATTGCGAAGCATGACCAATTAAGCTAAGACACCTTGGACGGCGCTCGATCCCCAAGGTTGATATTAATCAAATAGTGAAATTAAGAAAATGAGAAGAGAAATCTTGGTAAGACAAAAGGCAGCATTTAAAGCAAGCGTTGTCAGACGCATTCGCCCATAAGTGAGTCTCAATAAACTGGGTGTGACAGGCGTCAAACCGAAAACGCGGTTAAGGTAATAAATCGAGAAGATTAAACAAACAACACATTGCAGATTTTGCAGCTTACCATAGCGAGTGTGTCTCCGGACTCACGAAGTATTTTCACCGCCTCTTGGTTAGACACGCATGTCAGGTCAGTTCCATTGACTGATATAATCTGATCGAATGGCCTAAATGATAGCAACAGGCTCCAATTGAGAAAAAAAGCAGCCTCCACATCAGTGCCACCGTTTTTCAACGATTCCAACTCACTCGACTAAACCTAACACTCCTTAAAACTAGCACCAATGCTCTCAAAACGTTTTTATCAGTTTATTTAGTAATCACTATGACAGAAAAACGACAAATCAGTCAAATGGGTTCAGCAGACAAGTTTTTACAGGGGTTGATGGCTGGCCTAGCTGCTCTTCAACCCTACCTAGCCTAATTTACGTGGCTCGAACCAATCAAAAGCCGAATACGACGACAGTTCACTTGAACAAATCTGTATTGTCGTGGTTCCAGATGTTATTTATGGGTGGGTAAAAGTGATGAAAAGCAGTGTTAAAATTGTCTTGCAGTGAGGCATGGCACTCGTCAATACTTACGAACAGATGCCCAAAACTATTACCACGAAATCCAGCGACGTGTAATTTGAATTTCACACTTAAAATAAATGCCTCGACAATGGCGAACAAAATTAAGCCGTCTGTGTTAAAATTTTAAGAGATGTTCGCGTGGTCCCATGGGAGGAAGTTCGAATAAATGTCTAAACACCTTGTAAAAAGTTAGACCTGACTGAAATCGCCATACTACGAAAACGTTTAGTGCTGGACTTATGAGTTAGTAGCTCAATTACAATTAGGGATACACACAACAAATAAATATCAAAATATGTAGCTTCGACGAAGTACGACAGACGGTTCTCGAATCAAAGGCACAATCCCCTCGTGCACAAGTTTTGATGACGTCCACAAAACGAAGTTGAGTGCAAACCGGCCATGGGAGCATGGGATTTTTTTCATAGAACTGGACTTTCAGACCACGAGGACTAATACCACTAGTTCCATAACTTTAATTTTGCCCCCATTCAAGTATATTAGTCACAATGCCAACACTTCACTGTCGATTAGTTTAGTGACCCTCGTCACTTAAGAACACTTCGCTCGACCACGTGTGCAAACACTAGTTTTGTTAAGTTTTAACAGATGGCAAAATGCATTTGGATTCCAGGTGCTTGAACAGGTAACATTCATGGAAACAAGTAGGTTTTTCATGAGAAAAAGATGGTCAACTAAAGTCGACATCTCATGCGAAAATGTACCCATTAATGACTTGACTACACAGAATTTTTTTTATTGCTACTCATTTACCTTAAAGAACTGCAGAACCGAAGTGGTCATGCCTATTACCATCAAAAAGCTATTTTCAACTAAAGTTATGTGCCCGCACTACAACAAAGACTACTGTATTTTATGCAAAGTACAAAAAAACAAGCGAGCATCGAACTGTTTCCTTGATGGCTACGTTACTACAACGAAAATTATTTATATGTATCATATTTTATTCACTACGTGATGTTTGAACACCATGGATGCGCCTAAGGTACGAGAGTCTGACGTAGTTTAGAAAACATTACAGGAAATATTATGTGAGAAAAAAAACTTGAAAATGATTACCGGAGACGGTTATCAAGTTCAGCAATCCCTCCAGGTGCAAGTCGGGTTACGTAAATGCTTGGGTCACCATTTTCTTGGGGCGCATCATATCCCCCCGCGATACTGAAACCAAAGCTTTGATTTTGTCCTGCCGGACGGGAGATAACAACCTCGATATACTCCCATTCACTTGACTCAACCGGTGACATTAAATCTGAAAACGTTTTGATCTGATTAAATCAAAGTTCGAGCTTCTGTTTTAACATGGGAGGAGTAATCATTCGAAACTAGAATTTCAAGAGACTAGATAAAAATATGGAAGCGTGGACAAAAGACAACTATGCCCAAAATCAGTTTGAAAAAATTCAAAAGGCTCTAAATTATTGCCAGAAAATCTGCTTCAATAGCAGTGAGACCCCTCAGTTATGGACACGAGCACTTGAGTTGTCCTATTTAGGTATAAATACTTGTATAGTGGTATTTGGTTGCAGGTTCGGGAGCATATTACATTTCAAGAAAAATGAATGGGACGATACACAAAACACGTCTCAGTAAGTTGACGCTTCCGAAAATATCATTGTCGCTTATGAGGGTTTTGGACACACTTTTTGTAGATAAATTCAAAATGTTATGTACACGTAGCTTAGTCGAGCAGAAATAACAAGCACAAGGGAAAAAATAATTACCTTCACGACCTGGTGCCAGAGAAGGAGTCCGGCTATTTGTCGGGTTGAAGTCCTCAGGCTACAAAAAGACTTCATTAAAGAATTACGTGACAAAACTACTCAAAATTAACTAACAGCGGTTTACCCTAGTGCCAATTCGATTTTAAACTTCTACATCCCAAAAAGATGTGAAAAAAAGGAATTTCGCTTTCGTAGTTCGTGTCTTACGCCGATAATTAAAATCGCTAATGCATTAAAAACGTTAGGGCTTCGCTATCTGCCATAAAAAGCACGATTACGGTGGTAAAATTAGCAAACTATGTCAGCATAGCTATCCGAGTAGGAGGATCAACGCATACCAGCAGTTAACATTCATGTTTATTGAGTTTTAATAAAGTGAGGCCTGGACATTTTGCATCCGCATTAAGTATATGAAAGAAAGAATCCTGTGGAATACGAATTTGGGTTGACCAAACGTGTGTAATTTTAAACTTCAATGAGTAAAACAAAATTCACAGCAAAATGAGCGCAATGAAACAGTTCATTGCAATGCTTACAGGCATTCAATCGAGCAAGACGTAGAGGCACAACCACGCACATCTAAGCTATACTCATTTAGAATTTGGTGGCCCATTGCTCAATTTAAACATGCGATTTACGAACAATAAACCAACAATTAAAAATTGTGCTTTCTTTGTCGCATTGCGACGTCGCAGATGATAAAAATATCTTAGCACCATGGGTAATTTACTCAGACACGTCTTTGCTTTGATAAAATTTCTGATATTATGGGTGCAGTAAAGGTTCCCAAATTATCAAAACAGGTAGCAGCCGTTACTAAGAAACGCAATTGGTCCAGAACTCGAGATAATATATAGTACCTGACGAAATTCTTCCGTTGGTCCAGAGATACTGCTACCCGCGCTCCCTGCTAGCATCTGCCTATAATATTCCTGAATGTCTTTACCGATTGAGGTTACAAATGCCATTTACCAATAAGGGAAGAAAAAAGATCACTTTCCATTGCGCCAATCAATAAGTCCATAGACTTGCGAATGGATTTTTCAGCTCCATCACTAAGCTTAAGCCGCAACTTCTTCAGAAGCGTGAGAGCTCGTTCTATGTCTAAAGAAAACCACGTCAACTAAATACACGGCAGACAAACCCTCTTTATTAATTACCATTTCCGCACAATTTTTTGTGCTTGCATAGGGCACAGCCATGTTAGATAACTTCGACCTTATCGTCTGAATGGCCTAGATGGACAGTCAGCAGCCAATCAGAAATAAGGATGGATGAGATTAATTATCCAGAGGGTTGAACTTGGAGCACCGATGATGGTTTACTTTTGAATGCCGCTGAGGAATCATTAGATGGTTGCTTCCGAATAGTAATCGGCCATTTTTCTCACTATTCTAAAAATTAAAGTCACTGAAAAGACTGCAATATTTTCATATTCTGTGTTGAATTTTTTACTACAGAAAATTAAAGAAATTTGTTTAATTAAATTAAGGTTTGTCGTTGCATTCATAAAGAGCGACAAGGAGAGGTATTTGTGGGGATCTTTTTAAGGTGCTTAGACGATGACCCTATACTCGTGTTTTTTATGTTTTATGTAGACTTTAACCTATTCGCTTTTCCATTCAGAACTGTTGCCCAGGTTGAACTCAGATAAAAAAATTTAGCCAAGTTTTTATCCTTCAGCTTTGTGTAGATAATCTAAAAAAATATGCAATACTCCATTAAGGTGTATTGTTACATTTATTCTAGTTACTGTAAATATGGAACAAATTTAGCTGAAAGTCGTTCGCCTACTGGGTAGTGAATAAAAATCAATTATACTTGCGTGCTTGTGGTGACTATTTTGGTTGGATCATTCAACAAGTTACTTTAGTTGGCATCAAAAGTGCTTCATATTTGCAATAGTAATTTTGATATTTACTACAGACTGCGAAAATAGTAACCACGATTGCCGCGTTTATGCTTACCGATCAATTGCTCAACTAATAGCTAGTAGGAATCAAAATATTAATTATGATTTATCTTATTCCTACAATTGGTGTCCATGCTATGATCATCGTGGTTCTTACATCTGATTAATCTCAGACGGATATTTTATGGCACGTATTTTCGTCTTTATCAGACACTATCACAATGCCTCAAATATGCTATAACAAAATATGAATGCAACACAACATTAAGATAATTGCTAAGTCAGTTATAAATAAACTCATTCTACATGATGTCCTATAAACAATCGGGTTATATGTACAGTTCCTGAGGTGTACGGGTTTGTTTTCGGCATTCACCAGGACAACAGTGCTTCTAAAGATGCAAAAGTTCAGAAAGTACTAAATTCTACGACTGTAAATGACCCAGTGTGGTGTATTGTAGTGTGGAATACCCAAGTCCTAGTATGAATAAGACTGGTACAAGAGAACAGGATTTATTGACAAATCACAAGCCAGAGCCACACGTCAGGCGCCATCCATCCGAGTCCACGACGCTGGTCACGCCGCTCATTATATACTGCTCTCCACTCGTGTCCTTCTCTGGTTTGCTGCTTATCTTCTTTGCATGCCATTGGAACATAGAGAGACACAGGATTGGCTGAGGCCAGTGTCTAATATGTTCGCACCCGCAGACGTCGCCATTGTGGCGTCGGAATAGGCGCAGACATTCTGGACCACGCTGGCCTCAGCCAATCGTGTGTCTCTCTGCCTTCCAATGGCATGTGAGGAAGATAAGCAGCCAACCAGAGTAGGACACGACTGAGGTGTAGTATATAATGAGCGGCGTGGCCAGTGTGGTGGACTCGGATGGATGGCGCCTGACGTGTGGATCTGGCTTGTGATTGGTCAATAAAGCCTGTTCTGTTGTACCAGTTTTCAACCTATTAGGGCTCAGGTATTCTACATCAGTACCTAGAGAACTAGAAGGCGCATTATGGTTCGGTGCGGAAGCTTCCGTGGACCCATTGTGGCCTATCAGTTTAATAATCAGACATCTTCAGCTCTTTGAAAATGAGCAATTAACCTAGTGAATGCGTTTGCAAATGTGTTACAAGAAACATCAAAATATATCATGAAGGACACTAAAACGCACAAATGTTATATCAACTGGGTTCTTTGCACCAGTAACATTTTCTGTCACATTGGATCAAACATTGGCTCAGCTTTGATTCTACCTTTGAATATTTTACCAGTTAATGGGAAAGATTAACTGTCAACTGGAGACAAAGATGGTTGAGAAACAACAATGTAGTAGACCTTTCTTCTCCATAAAAGTCCATGGCATCATGCAACATTGATGACCCTTTTCTTAAAAATGCTTTGTGGTTTAGATAAATGCGTGATTCAAAATGCACTGCTTACCGTTGCTTGGGTTCATCTTTGTGTTGTCGAAATTAGTTGACTGGTAGTCCATTTTCCCTTAAGAGATCTTCATTAATTTAAATTGGTGATCATTCGACGGGATCTTAATCTTTCGGCAAAAGAAAACTTTTCCTATTTTCCGAATTTACTAAAATCGAAAATTCTTCCGCGAAGGTGCACACTCTAGGGTAAGGCCACTCACGAAGCAACTGTATCTTGTTTTGTTCTATATGCCCAATTAGCGTAGGCTGTCTTACTTTCCACGCAATCAATAATTAGAGTAACATTGCTTCCCCAGTGTTTATAAGTTTAATTTCATACAACTGTTTACTGACGAGGAGTGTGCTAGGTTATGACGCTACAGAGAACCCACGTTGCTTAATATTTTTCAAATTGTGCATTGCAATGCACAATACAGATATTCAGCACCAAACTGTCGACAATTGCATTTGGTAAAAGGGGTTAGTGCAACAGAAGCTAGCATTTTTACCGAACTTACATTGCAAACAATACTATTCGCACCTCTTTTGGCTGTGACAAGTCGAACGCGTAAGGAGTAAAAGACGATCCGGAACGTTCAGTAACGTATACGTGTCATCATGTCCAATAAATATTACGGCAGTAAACATTTTAAATAATAACAGTAAATAGTAGACGAATACATGTCACGATAGGAGTATCTGCATTTTGCTCCTTTAGTGATAAATAGTACGTGGTGCTAAGCGGGAATCAGAAAATGACTGATAAATCAAGAATAACATGGTAAATGTACCGTCGGTGGTAAATGCAACTATATTTAGTTGTGCTGTTGCAACTACACACTTAATTTCTTTCATTTAGTTCAATGTACCCCATGTATGGGGTTCTACTTGATGGTGACGTGAGATTGCGTTGACTTGATGTTGTGTTGTCAAAAAGTGATTTTGAGTCAGGGGCTCCGTTAATATGTCAGTTATAACTGCAAACTCAATGGACATTTTAAATACTGGTAGTTGCAGTTGATGTTCAGTGTGTTAACAGAACTACGAAGTTCCACCCCTGCCTATCGGTGGTGCTTCAGTGTCTGTTTAAGAAGAAGCATTTACAAAAACCAACAGGTCGAAACGCATAATTACCGATGCTGCCCCTCCCCGAAACATGAAAAATTATGCATGACTAAGGAAAGGCACTTTGAAAGAAACTAGCTATAATTATCTGCAATTTTAAGGTTCCGGGATATCAAAGCCAATTTTTACGTGTTTCACGATAATATTCAATAGGTACTAACCGTAACTCAAATTTCAAAGATAAGTACCCTAACAGGAAATATTTCGAAATCAAAGATGCCTATTTATGTTTTTTCTGCATTTTATTGATTATCTTTTACTTCTTTAAGGCTCATCAACTTAGAAAATGAACTTGTTTGTACTAGATAGTGTATTTTCAGGTTGTCTTTTCATCCCCAAAACACATGAAGGTGATAGGTTGCAGTTAATCTGGTTGATTCACGACTACCACAAGAGTCCGATTCCGTTTGCAATTTTCATTCACTCGGTTCCATCTCCTTGTCCACCCTCGATGAACTTCAGTGCTTATCCAACACTATCCATGCATGCACTAACCGCCTCCCCTAGTCATTTACACCAGATGTTCAATGACACCTGTACCCTGTACCCTACTCTGGTAACTTGGTATCCGATTGGACCGCAACAGCAATACTAAATGCCCCTCAATGTTGTACAAATTTATACACTCTTGATGGGCTTAGCAAACTCAGTCATTCGTGGATTTCAGGTTAAGGGTCCAGTTTTGCAGTATCAATTTACGAACACGTGTGTATTCCGATTTGACCAGGCTGAGTTCCTTGAATGCACTTTTTTTAAATTAAACAAGCATAATGTAATTTTCGACTGGTAGTTTTTGTAATCAAAGACCTTTTTTAAATAATTCGAATGCCACCTCAAAGGTCCCCAACAGAAGTACAAGCGCGGATAGGCACTTTTACTTGACCTGTAAAATAAAACACGTCCGGATTACGGCGGTATCCATTCCTTTGAAATCGACCACCAGACAGCAGTGACTATCGTCTTACTGCAGCGTTCCGAGCGTGCTGATCCCAATTCCTGGCAAAGAATATCTTCACATTTAGTAGTACGATTCCGTGCTACCATTTTCTTTTGCCTCAAGTGGTTTAGTATGGCTGTTTGTTATAGAACCTTACGTTTTGCTATCCATCTGTTGTCCGTCGCCAATTATGACGTTTAGCAATCGAGGACGTAGAGCAGATATCCCTGACAAACGCAAGCCCCGCTTTCCCAGTGCACAGACAATAACAAGGCTTTCTCTAAGGTTACGTCAAAAGTACTTAAAAAGGCATATATCTCGGCAATACGATTTTACAAATATACTGAAACACATCGGTCACAATACTTTAGTACTGGAAGAGCTGCTTAAAACTATCTGATGGCCACCAAGTTTCGGTTCGATGTTTCTCACGATCATCAAGGAGGTGGATAAATAATCCAGCATAATTACAGAGCTCTAATCTGGTCGGATTTGGTCCCTAAACTAGTTATCCGTGTACTTCTTAATGCATCTTGAATTTTTTTTATAAATGCATGCGCTAGCCTGATAAGAATCTTAACTGTTTCTGTGATAAATCAACCACTTTTATCAGGCATTGACATTTCATTTTGTTGGTTTTCCTCAAACCAAATATCTGCACAATCAAAGAACAGTTTTGGATTCTAAAATCAGTATAATTGTACTATAGCATCAGCATTCAACTAGCTAGTCAGGTTGAAAATGTGTCCAAAATAGCGATTGGCTAGTCGATGATTTTAAGGTCACGGTAGGGTGCATCAACATCTGGGTTTGTAAATTTATTTCATCTACATTCCGAATGCAAAGAGAGTGCCTCCCCTTGTTTGTTGTTCTTCTTTCTAGCCTTGGCTTTTCGGCCTCTGAGACCGAAAAGTCGTCATTTGATGTTAAGACGGAGGTGTTATCGCCAACTACGGTACGCCTATCTTGGGTGGATTTCGAAGGGGAGCATGGGACGTCGGCTTCGAGATTTCGTGTCCTCTGTACGGCTGACGGCAAACTAGCCGTTGAAGCAGCAATCTCGAGGAAGGAAGTGGAACTCGGCACGTTCATCCCAGGGAAGGAATACACATGCGAGGTTCATCCAATCTGGGGCAAAATTGTTGAGGGTATGGAGGTGGTTTCAGCAAATCCGGGAATATCAAAACCGTTTACTATGCCAAAACTTGACGAAGCTGATAAAGGTAAGCTCCTGACCAACGGGAAGATGTCTGGCACCTTTCTCCTTTAAAACTCTCTTGCATTTTATAATGAGGTGATTATGTCTTATAGACCGAGAATTGCTGTTGAAAATTCCTTTTTAGGTATTGGTTAAATTTTTTTCCATACACCAATTATGAGACTTGGTGCCAAAAAGAAAATAGACCTCCGAAAGCGGTATATTTGAGAGCATCACTTGCAATTTACTACTTTTCGCTGTAAAGCTTTTAATTAGGTCCAGAATCACTAATGCTATCGATAAAACCAAACTGGCATTTATCGTGGGACAATGCATGACCTGTAATCATCGCGTATTCATTATTACAGAAGGCTAGTCAAAACAGACCATAAGGGAAACCAGCATTTCAAAGTTTGGACGTGATTGTATGCTGAAAAATCTAGCCATTCAAGTGATTTATGAGAATATTGATCATGAATGGAATTTGAATAGTGTAATTTCTGGATTCTATAACTACAGGATCAGAAAGCCGAAAAATATTAATGACTTCAGAGAAACTGATGTTTTAATAAGGCACCCAGTAACACATCCAAATGTATTTTCTAAATGATGAGTTGCACCGCATTCTTTGTCTAAAATTCTCTTGAGTGGCGTTATTCTCAAACTGGGGTTCCGGATTAAGCTACAAATGCAAAAAATGAGGCGAGAACTTTGTACACAGAAACTTCTGGCGGTTTTTGTAAAAAGTTTAGGTCTTGAGTAATTTTGCCCATTAATAAGAATTAATCCGAAGATTTCAAATCGGATAGTTTTCAAAACAATTTCGTAAACCAGGACCAAGTTAATGCACCAATTATTAGTTACACAAATTAGAAATATTTTTGTAATTTTGGGTTTTTCAACTTCGTCGCTAAACTGGCAGTAACTGCCCTTTGATACTACCATTCTTAAAACGGGTACAAAATTAGGACACATTCAAGTACTGTGACCTCTGAATGAAATTAACCTAAACATTTAAAATCGTCACATGCATCCACACCGGTTGGCAGGTTTCAGGTATTGGGGTCAAGGTCAAAGCTCCTATTCCCGAAGCTGTGGACTTTAGTTTATGCTGAGGTGTGTGGACATAATGCCGGATTTTTACGATTTCTTTGCTTAACACCAGAATGAACGTTAAAAGTATGGTGTCAGTTGGGTTGAAGCCATTTTTTCCTAATTATGAAAACAGCACTTTGTTTTCACTTTATGTAATCTTTAGGCTACTGTGATGCCAAATAATTCCTGTTCTGTCTCAATGGTCAATGGGTGGATAGCACAACCACAATAGCCAATCAGGTTTCCTGTGTTGATAGAGTTTTCAAACTGTTTTTTTAGATGAACACTATTAATTAATGCGAATCTAGATTATTCGGATGCTGTGCAGGCATCTTCTGGACCCTAATAAGCGTAGTTTGTTTCTTTCCATGCGTACACATGTTCGAACCGATATCGATATCTGACTGATAAATAAATCGTAGGACGATCGAGAAGATTCAGTTCAATTACAATAGCTTTCTTAGTCGGAAATGCGATTGGATTTATAGAATGTCAAATCAAGTAACTGGAAACAGTTCGCAAATTCGTTCTACAGACGGAATAGAGTGTTTTCAACAGCTGTCAGTAAATAGAGAAGCTTCGATTAAATCGTATGAGACGCCCCTGGAGTTCCAGTTAATATGGTGTTTCTGACATGGATTTTCGAGGTCGCAATGTGAAGCTACATGTTTACCTTTTCCCTGACAATAAAAACACATAATATTTTTTTATCCTAACTTATCCAATAGACTAAGTTCCTGTCAACGATTCGGTTGAAACCAAGCTAGACGCAAAGACTCAGAATTTCGGGTCAAGAAATTTTATTGGGTTTTAGATAGCCAGGTTTATTGAAATACAATGGGTCAGAAGTCAGGTAATGAGGTAGAAAATTTATTACAATGGGCAGTAACAAGTCGCAGGAAAATGAATCGTTACTGCGACCTAAGAATAGCAATGTGTTTACGTGCCTTACAAGGGTCGATGAACTTCCAATCATATTGCCATCCATATAAACTCCGTCTGAAAAAAATGAGAACAAATTTGACCAAATAAATGACAACTAGATTGCAGTAAAAAAGAGCTTTAAAGTGGCAATTATAAATTTGGTTGTGTTGAATGCAAAAAGTGAACCGCCAATTACTCGAATTTCCCAATTTTTTGTACCGAAGTTATGACATGCAAAGGCCATTGGAAATAGTTCTCGTTTGAGATTTCCAGACATCACGATGGCCTAGCATAAATCTCATTCTAATCTTTTATGCGATAAAATGGTGTACTCGGAGGATACTAGAAACGCATGACTAAATTAAGTGGCATTTTAAGTCGTTGAAACGGGGCATAGAATATTTCTTCATTAAACAGTGTTTGCCATGACCTGTTTGCGAAGTTTCATATTTCCATTTCTTGTGCATCAGAGAGAAACTATTTTTCAAGATACTGCGATAAAGTTGTAAGAAAGTGTAAAGCAAATTTCACTGCGCCCAAAAAAATTTTTTAAATATGTCTTACTGCACACGTTACACTCAGCATGAAAGTTACTGGTTTGGTAATTTCAGTTGGTATATTTGGTACTTTAATATGTACTTCGAATGCTTTGTTAAACTTTGAATTCCCACCCGAAAGAATGCCTAGTTGGCTTAAATAAATAACAACAGGATAAGCAAAAGAATGCGGGTAATGCCTGCTCTCGATTTCGCAGTTTTCATTAACGTAACGATGGGAAGAGATGCGCGGGTTAAAAGAAGAGGTCTCGTCCGACTCGATCCGAGTAAGCGAGTAGTGGATCACTAAAAATTTAGTCAGCAAGTCAAGTCTTCCATGATTCTGTTTCTTCATGACTTTGAGGGCCAATTGATGCGTGCTTATTTGAAACTACGTTCTACATTTTGGTTGTATGTTTTACATTAATGTCAGTCCATACTCGCCAGTTTGGGAGTAAAAAATTACCGATTCAGGTCGAGTAAATGCACCTAATACTGTCCAAGCGTCCAAGCACAGATGAATTTTGCCATAAAAAGGTCATTTTTATTTATTTTGAGTACACTGTGTTGAATATAATGCATCTTGAAAGACCGAACGAAAATCAGCGAAATGTGTGAATCAGCTAAATTTGCGATATTTCAGCTACTTTTCAATTCCATTAATTTCAAATAAAGTGGTCGATGAATGCGGAGACACGGAAGGCGAAGTACGAGGGGAGACGAAGGCAGCAGGAGACCATCGAAATGGATCAGAAGCAAGCAAGGAATTGTCTGATGTCGTCGTAAAGCCCCATGTACAAGCAGAGGCAATCGATGCGACCAAAGCGCGTGTCGCGTGGGGATCAGTTACACGGAATGGGGTTGAGGCCTCGAGGTACCGAGTTGTTTGCCAAACGGAGGATCCGCACAAGGAATCTGTTAAGGTTGCTTCGACTAAGCAAACAGTCCTGGAGATCGGCACCCTTGAACCTCGTCTTCGATACACTTGCTCAGTTTATGCTATTTGGGATGACTTAGTGCCAGAGATCGAGGTCGTTTCTCCTCACCCGGGAATATCCAACGTTTTCACGATGCCAGGTGGAGGTACGTTTTCGAAGGAAAACAATATTTTTGTACACACGAACGTGAGGTTCACGACATCCTCATTTAATAGTTACTATTAAACTACGCCAGTAATCACCAGTCTAATCGTTCGAAAATAGGAACTTGCTAATTCAAAACTAAGAAAAGAAGTGAAGGTTTTCAAGCAGAAATAAGAAATAAAAGTTCTGGGTTTTTTAATGGCGCCGATCTCATTCATAATGACAGTTTGTGTTCCGATTCACCAGGAAGGCAAAGGCGTGGTGCAATGCTACTCTGCCTTACTCATTACCATTCCCAAATTGGAGTAACCACATGCATAAATGCAATCAAGACTTCGTTTCACCGATATTCACACACGCCACTACCCAAGTTTCAGAAAAAATGTAAAGATTAGAGAGGCGGATCAACTACCCTCGTAATATCCTTGCAGTTTTTTTTAATCCAAAGTTTCACAATACAAACCCTTTTAAAATTCCATACGGATAATCCAAACTATTCAGTTTCACATTAAGTTTAATTTAGGAATCATTCAAGGAAAATAAAAATAAATTGCAGTAACATTAGCAATTATGCGACGTTATAAAAAAACCAATTTTTCTGATAGTTCCAAAAAACTGGATTGAGGCTAACAGGCAACACGTCGTGATTTTACCCGAGTGCCGGAGTGAATTTTTCGATCCTGATGCCGTTCAGGCACCATTTAAGTCACCAAATAATGGTCGGTAAATAGCATCGTCCGTGAGCAACGAGACTCACAGCACGCAAACCACCTGCCCACTAATTGTCATTATTATTATGCACCATTCCCGAGCAGGGTTCAGTGCCCACAAACAGCTTATTCACTATTTTGGCAAATGTAAAATTTCCTCGAAACGTCTTCTCTAATTTTTAAATGGGACATAATTCCAAATGACTGGATGTAACCTATGCGTGTGTCTGTCAAGATAAATAACCAATACCTGGGCATTTTTGGAATGATTGTGGAAATTATGCAGCATCTATACGCAGTGTTTTCGTAACGCAAATTCCTATTACTTTTAGTGAGTGCTCAGTTCTCATGGATACTCGCTTATTTATCTACGATTCTACTAATTGGTTGCCTGTAGCGATTCCGCTGCCCATTGTAAGTGTTTGCTTAACCATTACAAGCTTCAGAGGCGTGTATTTTTTTTCACTTACTCAGGGGAATTTGATTTGAAAATCCGCCTGTGTATGCATGCATCTTTTCAATCAACCTGCCTCTATTGGCTGTGTTATAATGATCTAATGACTTTTAACAACACAGAAAGAAGACACTTTGGATGTAACGGCTTAAAATTATTCCCTCAATTCACTAGAAATGCTCTAGCTACCAGGTGAAGCGTGCTGGTAACGACACCTGAAACCCCTTGTTGTGTAGCGTGGAATAAGACGCTGCACGTAAACTAGCTCCTTAGAAGTTATTTTGGGCGTCTTCAGAACTTGATGCTCCGTTTTCACAGATGGCAGAAGAATGCACTTTAGACTGAATTGACTTTTCTTATAAAAAATGTTGCCATTAACCGACACTCATCAAAATGCGTCGTGAGTCAAAGCAACCTTGGAAGTTCACCTGCATTAATCTGAGTGTACGGTTAATAATGAAAACAGGAAATGACAGATTCCCACTTAGTTCAGTTTAAGTGAACTGGGTTTTAAAAAAGGCACCGAGTAGTGGAACTAAGGCAAAAAAACTTATTTGGATTGTGCTCAGACTCCTAGGAGAACAGGAAAGTATGTAGTCGAATTCGAAAGGCAATGACAAACGCCGCCCTTGGCAACCTTGCCGCACTGGTCATGATATTATCTATTTTTTGGATATTAGTAATTCACGAGTTACCACCGAAGAGGTTGTTGAGAGACTAGAGAATGCCAAATCAACTGTATTTCACGATTTGAAGCGATTCAGGTACACTTTGAAACTTGATATTTGGATTCGGCACGTTTTAACAAAACGGAAAAAACCTGAACTGCCAACGGAACGAACCTCTAGTGGATCACATCAGAGCTGGGCATAGAAGGTGGTTTGTGCATAGCAGGATAGAAAGAGCTGAGAGGAGCAGAGTCCTAATGAAGGGATTGTAACTTTTCTACGATCTTCGACGTTTTCCAAAAATACTACCGCAGATAAATGCTGCGAGCACCTCATCCAACTTAATGTTACATATAAAACATAAAGTTTAGATTTATTCAGTCGGATAGCAGCAACTTCCATCATGGCAATGCCAGACCATATTTTGTTCAATTGACACCGCAAAAAACTTGGGAACTTAAGAGGTGTATTTTCTTGGCACTGTCCCTTTGCTTTTTCTTCCGTTTCGTTTTGTGAAAATGGTGTGTTTAGCAAAAGAATTGATTCCCAGGAAAAAAAGTCGAAAACCGCCTTACTGCATCTTTAGAAGAGGGACCATCCAGTTTCTCTAAGAAAGGAATCTACCACCTGTGTGGAATTGGCAGGCAGTCATAGGAAGTAATGCGGAGTAGATTACTGGTTAAGAAATACTCCGTTTCATGAAAATGTGCTGTGTTTAATTAGGTTTCAAATGAGACACGAGTCCTTACAATCAGACATAAAATTTAGGCAGGAACAACTGCCTCCTTGGACAGAAACAAAAAACGAATCCGCCCAGAAGCCTCATATCTGTCGGATTTACGTGTAGCTAATTTATCTTGGGCATTTGCGCGAAATGAGAACAGGAGCTACCGGTTCAAATCCACTAGGAACGCAAATAGGAAGCTTTAGAGTTGTCCTAACTAAGTACGTGAAAGCAATGCCACATGTGGACGAGGCTATACTTATATTACAAACTTACGTCAAAATGGTAAGACGAAAACGGCACCTTTGGGACGCTTGGCCGAGAATACGAATTGATCTAGTTGGGATACTTAAAGTGGATAGTTTTCCAAAAAAACGGTTTTTTGAATACGCAACGACCCTATTTGCAAAGAAAGCCGAATTTCTTTTGTAGCAGGAAAAAAGCACCGGGGCTAGAGATGAAAACCACACTGTGAAACGATTTTGTGGAGCCCCTGTCTGTTTTTTTCCAAAATATGGCATGGGAGTGTCAATAGAACACGATTTGATAATACAAAACACAGCATGCAAATTATTCAACATCGACATTTGGAAGCCAGAAAGAGGTTTGTTGGGACCCAGTAGCAAGCATGGCGAACCGGGGATTGAAAGCAACACAATTCAGCAGTGCGCTGGAGCCTGTCATTTGGCTAGCGGCCTCAAAACTAGGCAGAGAAGCGAGACGACTTCCAGAATCCACTGCCCAAATCTGTAGGAATGAGTCGGGTGTGGTGTTGATGATAAATTGGCTGTTAGGCGTAAAACAGGCATCTATGGTCTGCTTTTCGATGTTGTTTGCAATCTACAAAGAAATTATTGTCAAAAAGTAAACGCATTAGGGCGGATCGGCCTAGCCCTAGTCAGTGATCGTGTAACCAAAGTGTGACCAAACGTTTAACGATAACTAAAATGTGACTTAGAGCAAATGAAAGATAGGACGTACCATGAGGGTATGAAGGTGCACCCCCGAGAAGGCATCGACTAGGCGTAGAAAATTGCCATTGGTGCAGATAAGGATGGTTTTGCCGTCGGGAGAAAACTTTAGACTGGTCCATTCAATTCCCTGAGCCTCAGCAGTCGTTAATTTAAACGTGGCAAAAGGTCCCTTGTCAAACGAACGTAGGTCATACAGTTTCAAGCATTCAGAGTTGATTCCCGCAGCGAAAATAAGTCCATCGGGATCAAAAGCTGCAGTCGGGCGACTCGGAACGTGCATCACACCCTACAGCGGGATTGAATGCCAAAGTGACATACACGAATCCCGGCTGCGGGACACGATTATACGGCAAGAAAACCCCTTCATCAGGGAATACAAAACTGAAAAAGCATAAGTACACGAGCACTGATAATACATCCACACTACCTCGGATTTGTTTTGGGGTTCTAAAAACAACGACATACGAAAAGCACCTCACCACCACTCAATACGGTAATTAAGCACCAAGTACTGCAGCATAAATTACTAAATCTTAGTAGTATAGTTATCATAAGTCTAAGAAATCATTTTAAAAATGGAAAGTCCAGTTTACTAAAAGCCGACTTTCCCAATATTAAGATGGCGACGATGAATAAAACAAGGGTCTTTTCGTGAATGGCAGATCATTAACAACGGGGCCGAGGAAGCTCATGATACGAGCATAATATTTCCAGAAGGATCCCTTAATGAACCAAATAAATTAGAAATTTTGCCAAGGAGAAAGTTTTTGAAGGGATAATCACTATGGGTAAAACTGACCAAAGGGAAAAAGCGACGTTTACGAAACATCTAAAGTTGGTTCCTGTTGGAGATTATTATTCCGCACTGACGAACTTGAGGTGTCGTGGAAAATCACTAGCTACTACCTCAAGTACGACAAATAACATGAACGCACCTTACACATCCGACTGTTTTTTTTGCTAAAACTTTAGTCACTTCGAGTCTGGAAAATCACACAGAATGTTGGATAGGTGAGACCGAAGAAAATCTTGCAGACTTCAAGTCTTCAAAAACACAATATTTTGAAAAATGTGTTCACCAGTGAGAAGGGCTGATCAAGGAGTATTTTGAGCAGTGAATTGTGAAATTTTTACAATGAATGAGTAATTCTTTTTCTACGAATTAAATTGACTTTTATTTTACACAGCCTAGTAAAAAAGGACACGACAGGTACTAATTCACCTGAACCTTAGAAATAGTTACTATTTGAAGACAAATGCAACGATGGCACTTACATTTATAGTAAACTCGGACAGCCATTGCATACGCACCGTGACATGTAGTGAAATTCAGCAATGAAATACGAAAGGTGGAAAATACCATAAAATGTTTTACATCGTTATCTGCACAGATTATCAATTATTTATTTACAGTGAAGCGTGACATAACGAAAGTCGTGATAACTAAATTATCAATAACATAGAAAAAAATACTTCTAGTAAATAAAAGTAAGAATTATGGTTCACACTCTTTTTTACAAAATCTAGTTATTTCGAGGAAGACGACGCACGGTAAAGAGGTAATAAAAATTGAGCGCAATTCCTGTCAGCTGTAATGTCACCTACTACGAAAAATTAAGTACATCCAGTCGCTTTGATGGCAAAAAGAGCGCTAACTATTTTGCCTCAAACTGTTGACGTGGACAGATTACGAATATGTGTTGAAAAAAAACGACACAAGGAAACTGTCCATGACACACAACAATAAAATAAACTCGGTTCCATATTTTAAGATCAGAAAGGCTGTCAAACTATGACGTTGTTACAAAATCCTATTCGAAACCAGAATAAATGCAATGTACCGACAAATTTGAGCTTGACAGCAAATTAATCCTAAATGCTAAAATCAAAAATTTTGCAACCGTTTCAAGTATTTTAAATAAAAGCAGATGGAATTAAATCTTACATGGCAATTTTGAGAACGTAGATCCCAAAGCCTTACAGTCCCGTCGAGCGCACCTGACAGAAATGTGTCGTCAATAGGCGACATACATAAACAAACAACGCTAACAAAATTAGACGACAAAAAGAAGGCAGTTACCGTTTTATATGACCTTGAAAGTAGCGAATGTACTTGTTGTCATGCAAGGAAAGATATCGAATTGTATCTAAGGTGATAAGAAATTGGAGTTCAATTATTACCATCAATTTTCGTTGATGCATGAATTGCCGTTGTAGGGCTGTGCGTAAACTGGATAAGATTGACACCGTATTTCTTGCTGTTGATAGTTCTTTTGGGCCTGAAAACGGGAAGGGTCCCACGAATATGCATGAATGGGAAGTTAGAGTAGATTAAATTGATGCATATTTATAACATACGTTGATGCTCATGCAAACTACGACAACATAATTGATTTCGTAAATTCTACACATCATATCGAGACATGCAAAGCCGCTTCACCAGACAAAACCAAGCATTCTTGATCCCATATACCTTAATATAATACTGAGTTCCAAAATGACAAATGGGCAACGATGAAACGAAAGAACAGTTAAAAACTAGACTATTTGCCAATATACATAGGTGTTGCTGAAGCAACTTACGTCCCGGATGTACAATCATACATAATCATCTGATCATCGTCACTGCTTGAGATAATGGCTTCACCATTGTCGGTGTAACTAAGAGAATTAATCTTATCAAAATTCTCCTTGAAGTATTTGACGGGTCGGAATGTTTTGATCGAAGAGCTCGTTAATTTCATTTCAACCGGTTTTTGCAGCGCGTACTAGGGCGCAGACATATTGGACAACACTCGCCGCAGCCAATCCTCTGTCTCTCTGCATACAAATGGTATGCGTGGGTGACAAGCAGCCAACCAGACAGACACTAATGAGGTGCAGTATATAATGAGGGGCGTAGGGAGCGTGGTGGACTTGGATGGACGGGCATAAAATGTTGTCCTAGTTTGTGATTTGTCAATAAAGCCTGTTCTGTTGTACTAGTCTCCTTCCTATTAGGGCTCGGGTATTCTACATTGGTGGCAGGGGATGCGTTTGAATAACGCGAATGGAACGCCAGCACTTTCCCTAAAATGGACAACTGCAGTAAAGACCATTAAATGCCAGCTGTACTTGTCATGGCAGTTCATCCGATGCCCCATAAACTGATTGCATATTCATAGCTCGGGATTAGGATTACTGCACTGAAAGGGGCAATGGCAACTCAGCGACGACGACACGGACATTAAAAGCCAGTTGGACTGCAAACAGAGGAGAAACCCGCGATAGATGAAGCGGCCTTCCTAGGAGTCATTAAGAGCAATGTCCCTCGTCGACAATTTGCTTGGGCCACTATCCTACCAGATGTTGGGCGTCAGAGAGTGTCGAACTGGATATTTTGTCAATCATCAATGGTGCGAGGAACCAAGCCAAGAATTGGTGACAGCTTTACTCCTGAGGAAGAGGCAGTGAGGCGTCGGACTGGGGCGCAGACATGTTGGACCACCTGGCCTCAGCCAATCCTGTGTCTCTCTGCGATCCAATGGCATGCGGGAAAGGAAGGCAGCCAACCAGAGAAGGACATGGATGAGATGCAGTATATAATGAGCGGCGTGGCCAGCGCGGTGGACTCGGATGGAAGGCGCCTAACGTGTGGCTCTGGCTTGTGATTGGTCAATAAAGCCTGTTCTGTTGTACCGGTCTTTTACCTATTAGGGCTCGGGTATTCTACATTAGCGACGTCTGAGGGCGCAGACATATTGGAACACATTGGCCTCAGGGAGAGACACGAATGAGGAGCAGTATAAGATGAGCGGCGTAGACCGTGTGGTAGACTCGGATGTATGGCTCCTGACTTAAGGTTCTGGCTCTTGACTGGTCAACAAAGCCTGTTCTGTTGTACCAGTCTTCGTACCAGGGCTCGAGTATTTTATAAAACTTTATATTGTCGTATTGGGTAACAGACTTACTAAATAGCTCAGAGCTCAGCTAATTATCTATCACTATGCTTTTAAATTACCTCAGATCAGAAAGCAACCAGAGACAACGATGCATAAGGAGCTAGATATCATATATGATTCAGCTGGTATACTTTTACGATTATCTGAGCTGAAGTGTAAAAACGACTGCTAAAACAGTCAAGCTTTATTTAACGAATCATAAGCCAAAACCCTACGTCGAGCGCTATCAATTCGCATTTACAATGCTGTTTACAAACCTTTCATTATACGACTTCCCATCCACCCTAGGCTATGGTTAAATGCAGATATTTCTCACAGGTGATTTATCGGAACTAAGACAAGCTTAGCTAGGGCCATCGTAATCTAATATGTCCCTGTACGATGCTGCAAGTGAAACGGTTGGATGGCGCCAGCAGGACGGGCAGACCAAAGGGCTGATCAATTTTTAATGTAACCCGTCTTCATAAATTGAGAGCTCAGAAGTTCTACCTTAAACCAGCTGAGCAGAATTAGGTACGACAATCTATGTCAAGTAGTCAACATAGCAGAAAAGTTTTGTTTATATAGGGGGGGTTAATAAATCGAGTGGAATCTTGACGAAAGCCAAACGTCAAAAACGTATAAAAAGGGTTTAAATTAATAGAAGAACTAAATGTGAAACCATACTGTAACATTTAAATAAATCCTGTAAGCGGCCTTACATCCAGTGTCGCTAAGTATTAATTCAAATCGATTAAAGATGATTAAGATCATGAAATCAAAAATTTTTATAGATTTTTATTAATAACAAGGATTAACGGTAACTCTGCGAACGTTTTAATGTAGTTACTTTTGTTAACCACCGAGGGTTGTTTGAGGTCGCAATGTGATAATACCAAAAAATTTTAACTATCGTGCCGAAACACTGTGTCACTAAGCCAATGTACATTTTGGTGTAACATAAAAATAACTTCATTCCAAATCACGTATTTACCGTATTTTAATGTGCCAAACAAAAAAAACTTTTTGTTGAGCTACGTTACTTTGTTAATAAGCGCTTCTTCTTTAGTATTTACAAGTCCACTTATGTCTCTCAATCAGACTAGGATAGCTTACTCCCAAAATCGCAAATTGAGCAAAAAGAAATATTTTCTCCTAACCTTAATTTAGTTTCTAATGTAAATATGCAAGATGTAGTAGATGTGTATGCATGTGATAGTAGAAATACAATGCGCAATATAATTTGCAAATTGAACAAAATGAATATGATGATTCGTGAGAAACGCAAAACAGAATAGAGCATTGTGTTTTAAACAGCACTGATATTATAAAAACGAAAAAAGCATAAAAGATGTACCTTAACATACAGCTTTTAAGGGAAATAAGTAATATTAACTTTTTTACTTTTTCTTTGAATGCTTATGTAAGTACCCGCGTAAACCAGCTAACTAATTTGGATATCTTGCGGTTTGATGGGTGTTTTTGGGCTGACGCGTCTTATCAATGATGAGCCAGCCTCATACGTTTCCGAAGATCTTTTTCCCGGAACCGTTGTTGTAAACGCTGTGGAATTCATGCACAACGTTCTTAACCAATCTAGAGAAAATCAGTGTGTCGGTGCCTTTGGGCATGACTTTTTACATGTAAAGATTTTGTTTGATAAGGCTGTTAAATGTTTAATATCATGTAACGTGAAGCCTATTTTTGTTTTTAATGGCCTTCACTCAAGATACGTAAGGGCTCTGTCTTTATTAATATTGATTATAGGGCAAAGACCTAGAATGGCGCGCCTCTTGGAATTTTTCAAAAGAGAAACAATTCGATAAAACCTCAATGAGCGTTCCCGCCTCAGATTACAGTAGTTCCAATCAATCTTTATTGTTTTCGAGACAAATACTTGCTGCCCTTCTTCGTGATTTGAAACTACCATTTGTTCACTTTTGTTATGGCGCCGTCAGTTCATGTGTTGCCATATCATGTTGTCTGGGTTGTCCTATCCTAAGTAGCAACGCTGAGTTCTTTTTATCCACTCGACCGGCTATCGTACCTGAGCAACTTCAGTCGCTCGCCATCCACGACCTCAAATTCATACATTTGTCCTCTGCCACCTTTCGGCTGGCCGATGAAAATGAAGAATATTGTTTTCAGCCTCTTACATTTTATCCTGAATCTTCACCGATTGCCTTAGTGCCTCCGAAGTCGCGACCTTTGGTTGGGCTCTTAATGGATTCGCATGTAGTTAGACAACTGCCAGAGGCAATCGAATGCCAGCAACATGACAGGCAATCCTTTTCTTCCGCGAAATTACGTGCAGTCGTTGATTGGACATCGAAAACCAATGCTATAAATATTCTTCAGGCCATAATGGAGTCAGTTACCAACGCAGAATATTCCCGTTGTGTTGCCGCTAGTATTTTAGATTATCTTACTAAATTTTCACCTGATTTCGTTGACGCTACGCGTGTTTTATCCATTCTGAATATGTCACAAGAAATCCCCGTTTTATTCCCTCTACCAGAGTGTGAAAAACACGATCCTTCAAATTCTTCACCGCTAGCTTTTTTCCAGTCAGCGTCTAATATTTTAAATGGGGACGCCCAGAAGCATCAACGGGTCGACTTCCTTCACGGTTGGCCGGTTTCACTCGTCCACATTTTTCGCTTCGGTAAATTGGATAAGTGTAATTTGGAAGCTCTTTACTGTGAATCAGGCTCTTTTGCTGATCTTCAAATAATGTACCTTGCTGAATTTCCTTCCTTTTGCGGCCCCAGCAGAATTTTACGTTACCTTCATTACTGCCTTCTTCGAGGTATTGAAGAAGCGAATGGCCTTCTGTCGAAAATGATCGGGCTCCGTCCTCATGCAAGGGAAATTTGTTACGATGGCTCCTTTCGTTACAAATCTTATCTCATTCATGTTGGCTCTATCAGTCTTCCACCCAACTGTTCTGCCGATGATTTTCTTAACACGTTTTTTGGTTATCAACCATCTCCGGATATCCCAGATTGGTGTGGCGCAGTGATTTTGGCTTGCCTGATATGGCACTGTCAGAAGCTTGACACACCAGAACACAAAAACTGTGATGTCACTGAGTGCCCCGTTGTCCTGGCGGTAATCATCATTGCTGTGGTGAACAACTTTAATGTTCAGGGTGATAATCGCGCTCTTTTTGAACATTACAATTCCCTTAAATTATTCGCTAAATCTCAGGTAAACAAAACTGAGCCTCCGGAAATTGATGCAGAAAAATTAGTCTTCCACAATTTGCTGGAATTAATGTCGACGTATAGCCATTACCTTTCCCTCCATAGCCTACTAACAGCACTTCAAACCAAAGACCAGATTCCTGATTTTGACTCTGCTGCGTACAACCGGTTCCCAGCACTCCATGTCGTTTTCCCTTCACTCCACTTGGCTGTTCAAGTGGCACTTATTCTTCGATCTCAACCTACACCCTCCGTGGCTTCACGTTTTTGGTTAACGAAGGTCTTCTTTCGATCTTCAGCCTTTTCCTCTGTGGCAAGGTTTAATGAAATCACAGCCCTATTTCTGAATCTTTTGAAGTTTATGTCGACTGTGACGCTCAAGTGGCAACCACCGGAAGTTAACATTACCAATCCACCGTCCTGTTTTGTTCCGAAAAGCGAGCGTCTCCGAAATAATCAGAACGTTCATTGTAGCAGTCGCCCCCAGAAGAAATTCGCTCAACCTCCTGACCGTAATCTGAGACCTCTTGCGTCAAGACAAATGGTTAAAAAACCAACGGAGTTTTATTCTCGAGATGTCGCCAATGGTCCTCAAAAGGTCAGTGCATCATGCAATCCCACTGGCCACAACTTCCGACCGCAGTCCTCACAACCCAAAAATTTTAAGAAAGGCGGTAGGAGCGTTAGTTCTTATGCTGCTCGCCTTGCAAAGCGTATGGAAAGTCTGAATCTGGAGAAATGAACTCTTAGAATTGCCTTTTTATTATTCATTCTTCTTTATTCATAGGAAAATACAAACTCGTTGATTCTGTTTTTCTACATTCAATAGATGTTTGCTGAATTGCAATTAGAAGTGACGTCGTCTATCAAAACGCTGATTATATCGTGAGGGCTGTCTACTTCAACCTTTAGTTTTTTTCGTCTTACTGGAAAATAACCTTCATTGGGAATCATTCTGACACGGATCTACACTTAGCAAGTAGGAGACCATAACACATAACATTGGAAGTAATCACAATGAACATCCTAGTTTGGTAACTGACCCGTATGGATCTTCCTGAGTCTTGTAATGGGCATATTGAGCTCGTATTTGCAAAATATGCATGATTATAACCTTGTGGTTTTGTTGAGTGCTCAGGAGTTGTATCTCAGGTTTTAATATCTAGAGTAGTAGATAGGTACTTTAATTGCATTTTTGGAGCTATTAAGTGTCAGTTTAGACTGAGGTATTCAGTTTTATGAACCAAAAAAAATTGTGAAGCACCATTGTTAAGACTTGTGTGCAGGAGTGAAAAGCAGCTTACAAGCAGTGGTTGGTGACTTTACCATGGTTCACTGATATTGGTGATTGTCTCAACAATTTATCGTTTGAGTACGATACAATGACTAGCACATGAGCGGACATTCAATACATGTAGTAGGAACGAAGATCAGAAGAACGCGGAACCGCTACTGCACGCAGAGTTGTTGCAGTAGTCGTGTACCATTTGCTGCCCCGGGTCGCGTAGAATTCTTGGAAACTATCTTGGTCAGAATTGAGTCGTCAGCCGTGTTTGCAAAATGAATGTATTGCTTGACAAATGCATTACGTAATAATTACTCAACTTACTAATAGTCGAAGGGGGCTTGTTTGAGGATAGGCGGTCCTAGTATAACTGGTAAATTTTTATTCAAATCAGCCCTAGTCCATCTACTGGCGAACTCGACGATAAATGGGATGTCTAGACTGGTTGTTTTTACACGAAAAAGTACGTGACGGGAAACGACAGCCTGGCTGATGAATAAACACCTTTGAGCCCTAGATGATCACCGAGTTGGGATCCATAGCCTTCTCCGTCCAACTCCTAAGCTGTGAAGCTACTCCTATCTTCTCAAGGTTAAGCATGAGTCTGACGTATACAGTCCCAAAATTAAAAAAAAAACTAGATCTTTACTACCACAATAATTAGCTCCGCTGTGGTGTTGCGTGACATGTAATTCAAGTGGACAGATCAGGTATATATAATCAAAATCAAGCTTCTGAAGCAAACGGTAGAAAGTTCGGTATCAATCAAGCAATATCAAGACATTGTCGAAATTTTGAAGGCAAACCAGTGTTAATTTTGCACAATTTACTGATTAAATCGCCTAAGTGGTGACGTTGATGGTTTGCGTTGCGTAGACGTGCGAGCGTAGAATGTTACAAACGCCTTGATCAATATTTTTCTTTACAGTCAAAATCACTGATTTGAGTTGTTCCAACCAAAACATTTTGTTAGATTGAGACAGTATTGCAATGGGGATTTATGTCTAAAAGGTGCCAGTTTTTCACGTTCTAGTTTGTGTGAATTGCGTTATCCTCATATCAGAATACCTGGGGTTTTATGCCAATGCTTTCCAGCATCGTAGCACACTCGATAGGCTAAACAAGACAATGGGATGGATATTCTAGTTGACCCACAAGTATCTTGCCAAAAGTTCACGAGTAAATTGTTTAGATAATGAAGGTACGTAAAACCTATCCCATCAAATGTCAAACTGGGTGATACAGACACCTACACAACTAGAGGCATATATAGACACAAAGTTAGGGTATGTGTGAACAGTGACGACAGACCTGAATTTTCCTGATTTCTCACAAACTAAACACGAAAAATATAGCTTTGGACTGGAAATCCCAATGAAGTAAAGGAAATTGCTTTAACCACTCTACTAACGAAGTCAATAGTTTTGCTATACTCACGACTCTTTTTTCAAGTTTGCACAAACTAATTCAAATACCCTAACTTAAGGCCATTACAAGCTTAATGTGGACACATATATTACGCTACAACACAATCAGACACTTGCAGTACGTAATGCATATCTACAGACGCACTAGCATTTTTTCTATGGCAAAAAGTTTATTCAGTAAAACTACCATCAATTCACTGCCAAATGGAGATCACATCAATCCAAGGTTGTAACTTGTGGTAAATTCAATCATTTGTAATAAATTTCATCCCTTGATTGGCACAACATGTTACGCTGCCGTTTTAATTCCTGATAAAATGGAGTGAACAATGTTTTGAATATTCAATGTCATGTTTGTGATTTTCGAATAGGGAACCCAATTAATAAACAATACAGTACAAAAGAAATAAGGCAGTACGTGTTGATTCAATTTTCCCCAACCTACGACAGTGGGTATTTGAGTTCGCTTCACACAATTTTTTGCGGCTTTTCTGATCATTTCAAGGCATTCACTCAAATTCATTAATTCTACATTTATGACTAAGCGGCTCGATAAGACAGGTAAATTGAATTGAATTAGCGTAGAGAACACCAACACTGTTGCGTGGCAATCGTGTGCAACAAATGGATGATTTTTTTGCTTTTACTTCACTTTACCAAATATACTGATACAAATCACACAAACACACTCTCCAAGGAAACTGCAGTGTAAAAGTGCTGTGTTTCAAACGGTAAAAGGATCTGCCAGGCTTTTAGTCTTATTTTGGCTAAGCATACACTTAACAGCACATGAAGGTGTTTGACTAGGTGGCGCATGCTTTCCGTTCTACCTTTAAACGTCTACTTAAGCACGTTAAAAAATATTTAACATAAGATTACAAAGGTTTCTAAAGACCAGCGGTAGTAGATAGTGCTAAAATATTTATAATTTGGAATGGCTAAAAATATTTTATAAAGGATATCCATTAATATTAAGGGCCACTTCATTTTGTGAAGGTGGATCACAGGCAAGGAATTTGATGCACCTGCAGTCTAAGCTTCACCAGTCCAGTGCACTTACCCTGCTTAAGTGCATAATATAGACACTTCTATGATGTACAGCTTGGGAAACCGCTTGTTATAATACAACATCATTCACTATCATAACCTCCACTCAACATAATTTCGCGACATGAGGCTCCGACACAACACAACGGTGCACAACAAACGAGAGCATGAAGACTTAGACCATGCACAATGCACGCGCAAATGATGACATCTACTCATGCCTGGCAGCGTTAGCCCTCCAAAAGCCATCTAGGTAGGCTTGAATTTACGAGCATTGGAACTTGGTGTTCGGTGCATTTTGTAGATGGCAAATGCACCAAGTGCCGGTGGTGCCTTGAAGAGGAATTCAATTAGGCAAGTCTATTCCATTTGGACGCAAATCATAGCAAAT